GGTATGCCTTTCTCATCACCCAAATGCGAATTGTCACTTCAGGACTGGTCTGTATTGATACCTCGCCTGAAAACATGGAGTGAAGTAGTTGAACGTGCTGATCAATTCGAATCATCTCTAGTGAATCAGTGACCGATGAAATCTAGGCAAGGACAGTAAAAGCCTGATTGGATTTTACGACACTAGTTTGACCGAGAGTGGGATAAGGTGTCATCGTCTCGAAATACTCCCATGCAGTTGTGCATTTATAACCTCTGCTAAGAAACCTTTACCCACCTCAGGTAGCGGGGGTATTTGCACAAACTGAGGGGATAAAAGGAAATTCCTTGCGCTTATCACCGAATAGGTGGACTTAGTGTCATCTTGGGAAGGCTGGCAAGTCTTGATTCCAAACCAGTGGTGCAGATGGATCCCAGGATACAGAATGAATAAATAATGTGAAAACTTTTCTTTGACACCGGCAACCACGAGGATGAAGCACCTTACGCTCCTACACTGCCTTATCGACCAAATTTCAATCCAAACTTTGAGTATAGCCTCCTAAGACTAACATCTGCCTCTATCTGGTCGTCAGAGCAGTCCTACTGCACACAAATCACGGATCAAAGTAGGCTATAGAGTCTCATCACAAGTAGTCTAACTCATCGGTCAACAAACTATGCTTAGTCACTAAGTTGGTTTTCACTTCATCGTTGTTTTCATTTCTACATATAAACTGTATTTCCATATTAGATGTTTATTTGATATATATAGCATAGTAGCACAGTATTATCTACTTGATGATGTTTCCTGCATAAATTATTGCTCGTAATCATATCATTGATATGATTGTGATATATATATATATATATATATATATATATATATATATATATATATATATATATATATATATATATATATAAGTAAACAAATGTAATATGGAATTACACTTATACCAACAAACTGTATTGTTTTTAGTCACCATTTTGCAACTTTTCGTTACACTCAACTGCTCGTCATTGATTAAAATTCCACTCTAGTTGCATCACCTTGAATCGGTTGGTCAGCGCCAAAATGGGACCCAACAATACTTCTTAACTGTCCAATTATCTACACTTTATATCATCACACTAAGATATGTCACTAAGATAAAAGGTGGGGAAATAAGGTAGAAAGTAGAAAGTCTTGAGAATATAGTGGGTAAGACAACAACAAAATTCTATACGACGATACCGGTGGAGAAAACATGAAGATGTATCTGTGCAACTGAGATGGATTTTGAGCCATATCGCCAGAGTAACTGTTATATCTTCCGTCGCCAACTGTTATGTATTCCGAACGGATATAGTACGCATGCTTAACTGACAGCTAACTTCGTACGTAAAAGCCACCGACTGCAACCTCGGGACGAATAGAGAGAAGACCGAAGCTGTATGATGAGAGTGTTTATTCCTTCGAGAATATAATAATCAATCCAAAAACATGTGAATATGTGTACACCTGAAATATGACCTTGTCCGCAATTGAAGACATTGACATAGTAAGAATAAAGGTTAACCAATCAGCGAATTACATTATAATGGAGGCAGAAAATAAACTACTAGCCATACCGTAAAAAATGATGCAGGAACGACACGTTAAAATGTTCAGATCAATAACAGTGTTTGATACAAAACTGGGGCATCACAACACCTTTTTTTGAAAAAAAATCAGAAAAAAACTTAATACTTTCGCTTTTTGGGGTCCAGTTGGGAACGAATTGTTTGAGACCACTTCCAATCCGTACATCTGGGTAGGAGCTCCTTTTTGAGTTTGAGTTAAGGCTTTTTCATCACCGTTGGTAAATTAAACGTATCCAGCGGAATACCGAGTGGTATAGTTGGATTCTCTGGTTGGTTGGCCTTTCTGTGACGCATCTGATTCTTGTGTCTCTCCCATTTCTCCTGACCCGTACATCACGCTCCCACGTCTTCCCAAGACAACACCTTCCGTCCACATGCCATGTTCTGTCCTGTAATCTCGTACGTAGACGGAGTCTCTTTTGTTGAAGTGTGATCCAACTGTTTGAGTTGTTTGTGCATGACATGGTGACAGCATTGCATGATGTGGCGTACATAGCTTTCTCCTCATTAGGACTTCTGGAGGAGATTTACGATATGTTAGGGCGTCATTTGGTGTTGAGCGGTGGATGAATAGATACTGTTGTATGACATCCGTGTCTCCTCATCCTCCTTCTGTTTTAAGGAGAGCTCGCTTAAAGGTTTCAACAAATCTTTCTGCCTGACCATTGGATTATGGATGGTACGGTGGTGTACGAATATGATGGATTGCATTCACACTGCAAAACTGCAAATTCGCGGTAAGTGAATTGTGACCCACCATCTGAAACAATGGTCTCGAGCAGCCTATGGCAGATAAAATATTTTTAAGAGCAGCGATTGTTCGGCGTGATGATGAGGGCGATATTGCGACGATCGGCCACGTGGAATAAGCATCAACAACAATCAGATAGTAGGTTCCATGCAATGGACCCGCGAAACCATTATGGATTCTAGACCAAGGTCTATCTAGCAATGACCAACTCTTTGGTGGAAAACGTGGGGGATTCTTAGCTGTGTTCTGACATGACGCTCAGCGACTGACAAATTCAGCTATATCAGAATCCATATTAGGCCAATAAGCATAGCTGCTGGCGATGGCTTTCATACGTTATATTCCTGGATGACGAGTGTGAAACTTTTTTAAGACTTTTGCACGAAGAGACTGGGAGGTCACTACGCGTTCTCCGAACATGAGGCAGTTGCTTACAACACAAAGGGATTCTCTTCTGCAGAACAGTTATTTCAGATCACCGGTAAACGAATTTTGTGGCCATTTCGTCTGGACACAATGCATGACTTTCTGTGTGATATGGTTCTTACAAGATTCATTTTCCACTTGAGCCGTCGTGACAGGAAGTGCGCGGACAGCGCAATCCATTAGGTTGACTGCATAATCTCTTGTGGATACAAATGGAGTCGCTGTGCCTTCCTTAGGTGTAGGAACATCTGACTCTGCTTCCACTTTGTTGCAGACCATATTCAATGGAAAGTCGGCGAGTCTCAAACTCTCGAACCAGTCGAGACCCAACAGGTTGAGATTGGCATCAGTAATGTAGTAAACTCCAAAAGTAGTACTGCTAAGTGAAGCGCAGCAGTATAATTGACCAACTAGTTGAAGCTTACCGCCACATGCGCTGGTAGCTGCTTGTCTCGTTGCCAACAGTTTTGGCTGACCAAGACTGGATCATAATTCCCGGGAAATCACTGTGATATCGGACGCTGTAGCTATTTGGAGATATGCAGGCTGACCACTTATGTTGAGCGTCATATACTTCCGCTGTACTGGGCTACTGATATGAAAAGTTGTCGTGATGCTGAGGGGTCTTGGTGTACATCGACGACGACGACAAAACCCGTTTTTATTCCCCACCGTATGACAATAGCGACACTTATGTTGTTTGAAGAGGCACGATTTTACATAGTGCCAAGCTCCACAATGCCAACATCCGGATGGTGGCTTACTCTGAGTACTGTTTGTAGGGCGCTATGTTGCACTGCCTGATGTTGATTCGGGTGTTGATACTGGGTGTTTTATACAATGCACTTCTGTCGTGTTCTGGCTGCCAGTCTGTATAAGGGTGGTATCTTGACGTACATTAGTTAATCGCTGATATTCCTCACCAATATCTTTCGATGTCAGCTTTGGGTCTTGTTCTAGACGATTCAGCAGGTGGGTGCGTATATCTGCGAATTTCCGTGACTGAAGCGCACAAATAAATATGAGCACTTTGAATGGTTCGTCTGTTAGCGACCTCAACTCGAATCGTTCTCATCCTCTATTCACAATCCCAAGTTGCGTATGGATGTCATCAGCTTCGTTGAGTACCAGCTTCATGCAATGCCAGCGGGCATTGAATAGTGAACGATATTCTCTAAACTGCTGCCGTAGTGTTTCTACTGTTTCATCAAATGTTCTATCACATGGGTTCTGTGGAAGGATAAGATTACAATATTTATCCATTTCATCTGAATCGAGCTTTCAGATTAGAAGTCTAACTTTCCATAAATCGTCTTGATTGGCGAAATCAACTCTCAAGAGGTCTTCATATCGTCGAAACCATGTATCAAAACTCATGTTTGCATCTAAATTGTATATAAACTCCGAAATACTGGAACCAATTATATCATTCAAAAAAGATGGAGTGGATGTAGATGTTATAACGTGTATACCAGCAAGCAGTTCCATCACCTTCAGTTGCTGCTCCACCAATTTTTCTAGTCGCTGTGCATCCATTTTGACACCTCCGTCGCCAACTGTAACCCATCGCAGACTTCGGTCGTCATGCGGACGCCAACCTAGCGGTCTGCATTTTCCTACACAGCGCATATCAGCAGTCAAAGACCTTCATGAACTAATGCCATTTTAAAATCTAACCGCCTCTAATCTTTTTCCTTACTGAACATACTTCGGCTAAATAATGTGTCACGAAGAAGAGGGTGACTAGACATGCGTAACACATATCCCAGTTATCTGAGTCGATGAAGGTTGACAACCTTATCGACTTACTTTTCTCTTTTACTGAAAACTCCGCCCCCGACTTCTGTTTTACTGACGTAGTCATTTCACAACAGACAGCCTTATGCTACGAAGAAAAATGGTGTTAGGACATCTGAAGTGTTCTTATGTCCTACAATTTTAATGGCCATGTTACACAATAATACAGTAAAACAGAGCAAACATCATTTCAGTACACTCGGCCTTTGATAATATGCAGTCGAATATCATGAGGATGCCATAAGTGGCGTAGGCTGGCGATACTTGTAATGCATAAACATAGCGTTGAGGCAGTGAATTGGAGACACCTTAGCAAGGGTTTTCTTTATTTGCTCTCACTAAGGCTGGTGATCAGGCACTATGACTTAAGTTCCGACTGAGGCTTTTGTAACCAAGATTAATTCAACCAATTCTTGTTTTAGTTGCATCAGCGTTTATCTGGTATTGGTAATGGTGGACCTCTCAAGTGTTCAACAATGGAAATTAAACTTCGACTGGTTTTATTACTCGATCGAGCTTCAGGTGTTTATGTCAATCTTATCTACCAATTACTTCAACCAGTTTCAGAATTGACATGGCCTAAAGTGGTAAGTGTATAATGGTTCGTATTTTGATCTCATAGGTTTGAGCACACAGTGGTAAGTGTATTGACTATTTCCCTGAATAGACGGTATTCTTAGCACCTCTGTATTTGAGGGTTGTTTATGATTTCATGGACATAAGCTATTTGTACGACATAATATGTAGTGATTTACACAGATCAGAGAACCATGCTTTTATTTAAATATTCTTTACTACTATGCTTCTGTTTTAGTCAGTGTAACACTAAAGTAAGTGGCAGCTCTGCATATCTCCCATATATTTAAGCAAACTCTACTAATAAAAATTCACAACCTCATCAGCCGATCTCCCTATTGTACAACCGATTGTTCGAAAGTACGTGAACGATTCTTCAAAAGAATCAGTACTTGTGTTTTATTTCTTTTGTATATCCTATAGTGTGATAATCCGTAGTTTGTTCTTGTGCAGTAAACTTAACGCTTGGTACGCACGCTGACCCGTCGTATACATCACATATGATGTAATTTGAGAAAATGTTAAAGAACACTTCTCAAGTGTATTCGTGTATTCTTTTGAAGATGGGAGATAAGGTTTCCAGGTTCATTGATAATGATAAACGCTAATGTGTTTTACAGTTCTAACCTTTGATTTATGAAAGTAGACAAGTATTTCCCTATAAAATATCTACTTCCAATCCTTCTTGAGAGGTGATGTTCGAAATATCAATTTTTATATCTTCGATTCATTTACAAGTACAGTCTTATTTATCTTTTTGACTTGTGCATATTCTATTAGTCACGGTCATGGTTATGGATATTTATATTTATCTAAGTATCAACACAATGTTCTGTTTTCTTCTGTATAGATTTCACGTTTTCTTACGGATTTCAATGGATATTTTGAGGTAACCAGTAGGAATAAGGTGAAACATGTATCTGACTGCCTTGATTTGGATATGGCAACTTTCTGTGTTAATAAAGTATGCAATAAGAAGATTAAACATTCTGACTTAAATAAATTTTCTTCGTGTGCAGCAGAAACAGATACGAATACTATCACTCCGCGCATACTTTCTCGAGGTGATCGACTTCCGTCAGAAGTTATGACAGTTACTTCAAATTTGGAAGGCTGTAAACTAAATGATCAGGATGTGAAAACACTCGATGATAGTGATGAAGAAAAAGATAAAGCTACCACTAACCAAGAATCTGTAGCTTTTTATTTGGATTATGAAGCAGCTGCAATCTATCTAATACATCACTGCTTAGTTCACCTTGGCGATATTGCTCGGTTAGTTAATTTAAAACATGGTATGCTGTTCTATTTAACGGGTATTTTCTGTTTTGCTTCATTTGCTTGGTTTGAATGGTGATTAATCTGTAAAACACTGTGTTCACCACAATCATAAATTGTCAGTCATATTCGTAATCGCCGACTACGTACCCACCTGCTGCAGTTCGTATAATACAAGTATGAATTGCATGAGAAGCTGTTTAATTTGCTACAGAAAGCTAAACGTTCAGATATGGTCATGATGGCAGGTGACTTTAACGCTCAAGCAGGGAAGGTGAGCTGAGCCAATGGAAGAGACATCTTTGTGGTATTTACGGAATTCCATGCCAAAGAACTGAAAACAGTGATCATCTGTTACAATTCTGATCCGACAACCACTTGTTTCTGACCAGTATTAACTCTAAGGATAACAAGAGGCACTATCACTATCTGACATGGCGCCCCCAACATCAAACCAACGATGGAGACAAATAGATTATGTTGCTATAAGACATCGGTGGATGATTGTCGATGTTTCTTGTGTAGTAGTTTGGACTGGGATCACGCGTTAGTAAGGGTTCGTGTATGTCTGCGATGATGGTTTGAGGGTAGGTCTGTTGCAAATACTCCCAGTTTAGTGGTAGAGAGTGAAGTGGTGGAATGTGTGGCGGACTTCACTAACTTGGGGAGTTGGATCAGTTCGAACGGGCTAGTTTCTGAAGAAATCTCAGCTCGTATGCAGAAGGTCTGTTCGGTATTTGCTACGTAGCGTCATGTGTGGAGTCAACTAGTGAGATATCCAACTATCTATGAAGGGACAAGTATGCTGCACTGCAGTCCTTTCAGTGAGACATGGGCGTTGGAAGTGGAAGACATGAAGCGGTTACAGGGTTTTCATCATAGGTGTCTTCGTAGTATTGCTTGCGTTTGGTGGAATCATGTTGCGAGGAATGTTGAGATCAGGTGAAGGATTTTAGTCAATACATGAAAGTCGATTGATGATGTTAATCTTATTCAACTGAGATAGCTTGGAGATACGTTGTGCACCCCGAGCCACCGCCTACCTCGACATACTATGCTAACTAGAGGAAGTTGGATTAGGTTGAAAGAGAGTTGAGAGTGGCCGGACAAAGACGTGTCAGTAATCAATGAAGTCCCTGTTTGTTGACCTGAGCCGTGTTGGGTGATGTAGACTGTCTGGTTGGAGTTGACGAGACGAAAGGAATTAGTGGTTGAGGACTCTTGGTAACATTGTTGAAAATTGGTCACAATGTTGGAGATGTATCCACTCCTTGATATCTTCTGAAGCTTGAATATTCGCACTAACCTTCATTTTCAGATTGTTCATTCTCTCACACAACTTTGTCAACATTGAAATGACTTCTTTTCTATCCCCATGTTCTTATTGTAGTACTTTGAAGCGTGGTAACTTTAGCCGATGCATTTTTGTACTAGGGTTTTGCGTTGATGTTATCTTTTTATCTTGCTCATTGTTTTTTAAAAATGAACCTTCTTCAACATTGTCGTTTTATTTTGAACTGGCTTGTATGCTTCTCCTTTTATGGCTTGTTGTTTTTGGTCACTTGTGTTAGTGCCGTATGTGCCAGTCACTGTTTGATTTACCGTTTTATGCTCATTGAAGTAATGATTCTCGTTTTGTTTACGTGAATTTTTCCAGACTTTTGTCGTTTTAAAATTTGTTATCAAAAATGTTAATTGTTTTGGATGCTGTATGAGATTTTTGTTGATCTGTAGCTGATCACCAGACTGAATGATTTCACTTACAGGGGATTGCTCTATGTAGTTGAATTTTGACTAAACCTGTTCAGATTATTCTACGTCGTCGTCCTGCCACAGCAATAAGATTGTGACGTCTACATTGTAGGGTAACTAACATTTATCGAAGAATGGTTACTTCATGCACGTATTTTCAACTAAGCTCATTTTTCAGTGTCTAATGTATATATTTCTTAATAAGAGTAGTCTGGGTTAGGTATTACTATCTTGCTTATTTGATGTATCAAAATCAAACTTCAAATGTGTGCATTTTGTTTGTAGGTACCGTCAACAAGCAAACGTTGCAGCTGGTTATTATCTTTGGGCTTGGGCTGTACATCCAGACTCTGGGCATTCATTTAATCAGTTGGCTATTTTAGAAGCGACTAAGGTTGGTAGCCATCACGTTTATTATTATTTTCTTAATTTCTGTATGAAGTATAAAATAGAGACTTGATTATATCAAATCTGCAAAGAAAATATAGACGACCTTGTATTACCTATTGTTAAAGTCGACGTTGTGGAATTTAGTTTTAAGGAATCCTGATCGACTTAGCGAGATTAAAACATTCAGTTTATATCATGAGCTCACTGAATTACATGACACGTAAAGCCATCCATCCAAATCAACTTAGGACCAGGCATTATTGCGTAGCAGTCGGATTTCTCACGGCTCATATCAGTACATCAAGTAAAAAGGCAGGGAAATGAAGCTGAAAAAGAGAAAATTCAGTCAAAAGAAATACAAAGTACTAAAAGCGAGAAAGGAAGAATAAGAAAATGGTGAGATTCGGTATAGTGTTAAGATGAGAATAATATGTGCATACACCTGCGCCACTGACATCGGTTCTGAGCCATATCACCTACAGTCTGCAGCCACTGGCTTCTCTTGTTCCGTGGACCCCAACCGGCTAGTCTGCATCGCTCCACATGGCTCAAACCAATAGTCAAACACTTCATACATTGATGTCATATTTTACTTCGGCCACCTTGAGTCTTTTCGCAGCCTGAACCTACCTCAACCAACATTGTGTGACGAGGCAGACGGCGACTTTCTCTCTACCTACTTTTAAGTTGCGCTCGCTCTTCATTGTACTCAGAGCCTCCAGGGATGCGTTCATGTGCATTCATTAGTTTGGAAAAAACCGCTGATATCCACTGACTCTTCTAAGCCATTCTTTCGGAGTTGGCTACGGTCTTCAACCCCGCTTCTACAGCAGATTGGAGATGGCACCAAGCTTCTTCCGGATGAGTGATAGTGTTGTGTTCCGATAACTGCCTAGCCAATTTCTCACTGAAAGTGGCTTTGGTGTTTTCGTTCTCGAGTTGCATTCCTAATGGTTTTGTGGCAAAATGTTTCCTATGTCCATTGAGACGTAGGCACATACGCTCTCGGACCACCGCGCGGTCGCCATTTAAATACGTACTCCAGAAGAAGTGACAGTCTTCTACCGATCCTCTCCAGCGATGAGTGATAGCAGTGTGGTGTATCCGTGTCCATCTCTGTCTGCCCATCAGACAGTGTCTTTTTTTATGTCTGAAATTTGTGCTATCTAGGAATAGACGGTTATCTGAGCACAGTTGTAGTAGGCGATCACCGTTATCTGTTCGTTCAGCCGCGACTCCGGAAGTGCCATATATATGTATATATAATTTTGTCTATCTAAGACAGCCGTGGTTTGGCAGACTAATATTTATACTGGATGATGATTGAATATGGAATAAAAATTTGGACCGTGGCCGGATTCGAACCAGCGACCACCAGTGATCGCTGGTGGTGTTTCAGGATCTCAAAGTGGGTTGATATCCGGTAGATATCCACCGACAATCAGGTCTAAAGCCTGTTCGGTTCTCTTGCTTCAGTTAACTAACGGGTATTTATAGCGACTTGAATTTTAGGCACTATGTTGGTCAAACTGGTTTCTCTATGATTATCACAAGATAATTATTCCTCTTCCTTGAGAAATGAGACGATAAGTGATTGAAACAGGCGGGAAGAATCACAGTTGACCCCCACACGCTAAATTGCATTTCATTTAGTATAAACAGGTGAACCCTGGGGAGGAATCCTGTAGTACCTCTGTCTCTAATCCACCAGGACCTGTTACGCTTCCTCACTTCACTTTACTTTCATGCAGAATTGGAGGCCTGTATGCCAATGTCATATTGAGAATTTGACGGAATAGCTGACATACGAAGGGTAGTTGGTGGCCCGTTGATCTTATCCTCGAAGTGCTTTATCCATTATTTAAGTCGCCTCCTTTGTAGGTGGATTCCATACCCATCTTTCACTCCTCTAGTCTCACTAACCATCAATTTTTTTTCACTCCATACCTTTCGGTGAGTGAATAACTCCATGTCACTGCCTGTCGTTGCTGCTTTTTCCATCTCTTACGTTCACTACTCGTGACTCTCATTGTCATTCGGTGGACTCTTTTTCAGTTTCTTTCGCTGCTCATTAGGCTCAGAGCCTGTTGGAAGGCATCTACATTCATCCGTCAACTCATATGGCGCTGCTAAGATTCACTGGCTGTCTTTAACCTTCTGAGAGTCAGTTACGGTCTTTACCGCCGTTTTTACAGCAAACCAGGAGTTGCTTCAGACTTCTTCCCATAACTGTCGTGCCAGTTCGTCGTTCATAGCAGCCTCAACATTCTCATCATTGAGGTACTCTCGGAACAATCTTCTGGTCTTAGTTTTCTTAAACCCATTTAGACGTAAGTATCTTCGAACCAGCGCCTGGTTACTATTCAAGCACGTGTTCCGCAAGGTGCCGGAATTTTGTACCGACTCTCTTCAGCGGTAACTGGAAGCATTGTGGTCTATTTACGTCCACCGTTGAGTTGATTTGGGTATACACCTCTCTAAACAATGTCTTCTCTTGTGTGTTAGTCCGTGCTGGTCAGAAGTAGGTGGTTGTCTGAGTGTGCTGTAATAGGCAATCACTAGTATCGCTTCCAAAAATACTACTTGACCTCCTTTCTGCTTGACTTAGCTTTCCTACCTTTGCATTGAAGTCACTCACTCCAAAATCTACATCTAAATATTTTGGTTTCAGCAAGAGTCTAGACGGATTTTGAAAAAACTTACTTTTCATCAAATTGCTGTCACTGGGTGTTTGTATCAAGAGATTACAAAAATGGACAGCGATATACTATCTGATTGAGACTTGAAATTTCGTCATGACTTAACGATCAGAAAATTTCCACTTTTCTAAGAAACTAACTCTGCGGTATTGTATCAGCTAAGATTTTAAACAGCGATGTTTAGCAGTGGTCATGTTGTTTGACGTTTCATGGTGGGCTGTTTCGAAAAGATGAAAATCGCTGAAAACAAACGGGTTAATGATGCAGTACGCGCGACCCTTAATAGACAATCGTATATCACGGCGGCGCCATAGGTGGTGTAAATTGGCAAAAGCCAATCGAGCCTTTTGCATCCATGCAGAGATTTCATCGGCAACTGAGCCAGCCACCAGGGCTGATCCTACTTCCCAGGTAAGTGAAGTGGTCAACACACTCAACCTCTACATTCTCTATTGTTTGCCGCGAGACCATTGAAGACCGATCCTGGAGCAACAATTTGCATTTGAGTGGTGAGAACCGCATCCCAAACATTCTCAAATTCCCACTCAAAGTGTTCAGAAGACTCTGCATCTTGTCAGTGTCTTCACCTAACAGGACTATGTCATCTGCATATTCTAGGTCTAACGAAAATTCCCCCGTGATTAGGTCAGCATCTGTGTAACCTGGTGACGAAAGAGAGACCTGCATAAGAATATCTATGATAAAATTGGATACGAATACACAGACAGACTAATCGAGCATACCAATTATTACCCAATACAAATGACTACTATTATTTGATAATTATTATTACAAACTTTGAAGGATAAATAATCACTATGTTATCAATGAGCGTGTTTTTCTAATTCTTTTTTAAAAATTGTAGCCTTTGCCTAAACGATGCATAGATGCCTTATTCTATTATTATATACGTGCAATTGGGTGTTTACATCAATTTCCTGCTGCTATGAATAACTTATCTAATATATTGTTAGACTGCTTAAAGCCATGTCAACCGTATTCTGCGTGCAATACCAGTGAGGATATATCAGGAGATGTAGTTAAAAATGAAGTTTTAAGTAAAAAACTCTGGCCAAGATTTGATAATCTGCAAGTCAAAGCATTTATACAATTTTATGCTGTACTTCATCTGCACACAGGTACGTAACTTCTTAGTTTTTGTCATTATTTTTTTTACAATACTGCAGTTGAAGTGGGGCTGAAGGAACCCACAACCCCTTCCCTCCTATTGGTTAAAAGACGTGGCTGTCCAGACTAGAGAACTACAGATTATCACTATTCTAACCCGAAATGATCAAGCATTAACTGGGTGAATTGTTTAAATCGTTCTAGTTCTGGCCAACTGCTTAAGTGGACTAGCAATACATTAGATCCATGCAAATTTACTGCTAACGAATATTGCTGATTGATGTAAGGGACTTATAACTATCCATTTTATTTAATAGTTTATATCGTATGAGTTTCACACTCTCAGTATCAAACCTGTTTATGTTTTCAAGGGGAACTTAAAAATAATGTGACTCATACTAGCGTAGGTTCGTTTGTCACGGCTTATGATATTAAGTAATTGTTGAGGCTAAATTAGGTAGAACCAGGTTTCAACCGAAGCTGTAAAGAAAATGAAAAAAAGGTGTATGAGAGTGGAAAGAATAAAAATATGAAGGTAAACAAGAATATTGAAGGTTTCAAAGGTGATGAAGAATGCATACATGTGTTTCTTAACTTTGTCCTTGCCTATTATCCTGTGCCTAACCTCGATATTGCCTATATCGTGATCCATTTATGCACGAACAATGCTACAAAGATGAATTAGTTAGTTATTGTTATCAACATTTTATTAGATCCTAATAACAACAACTAACACAATAAAAAAAGAAAAAAGCTAATCTACTTCTTTAACTTTACACATTTCAGTTGTTTACTGATCTGAAAGTGAACAACGAACTGGGAATAATATCACCAAGATAATTGAAATTCTAGATCAGCATAATAATGATAATAGTAATAATGACTTAATTCTAAAAGGTATTTTAGGAATACTCTACAGAATTTTCAGCATATCATATAGCATCAATTGGATATGTACACATAACAAAATGAAATAAGTAGAATATTTACACCATCTACAACTTTCTTGAAAATGTACAGTAAGTAATCACAAGCTGTATACTCATTAATTAGTTTGTTTTCAAAAACTGAAATAAAGTTTGTTTTTTTTTTCGAAAACTTTTGTAGTTTTCTTACATTTACACACATGTTTCTTTACCTCTTTCATATATAAGCTGCTCCTGACAAATTGATTCAAATGGCAAGTACTCTTTTCGAGAATATGAACATATGGACTAAAATAGAGTTGAAGAGAAATCAGTTGGTCCATATATTGTGTATTCATTTCTATCTAATTGATCAATACTTATCAGTAAGTAGTAATTTCACCCTAGGTTATACTTTTCATAATAATTTTCTCGCTTAATCTTCTCTTATAATTGGATTAATTGTAAAACTGGGTCATGGGTCTGAACTTTGTCTCTGCCTAACGACGTTAGATCAGCCACTTGATGATATCCTCAGTCTTCACGCAACTGGTACGACCCTGTGCTTATTTCATATATATATATATATATATATATATATATATATATATATATATATATATATATGTCTGTGGTTGTTTGTTTTCATCATATTTCATTTCTTTCGAGTTTTATGTGAAAAAGGTCCTGATTACAGTTCGATACCACCTGGTTTATAATGAGTTCAGATCGGTAACCTTAGCTTCAACGGATATGTCGACTGAACTGTTTGATATTCTGATACTAACTGGACTGCATCTTCAGTCTTTGTATGCATCAAGTAGGTGTAATACAGTTGTCATTTGATTCAATGATAAATAACTTTTCATATTTCATTCACCACACTGGCTTATCAGCGGGTTCTTATCATCTTGCTTCAGTGTTACATAAAGACAACAAATAATTCACTGACAATTGAACTATCTAGGACAAATATGATTGACAGACACTGATTTTCCACACTTTTGTGAATGATGATAATAATAATTTGTAAAAGGCTGGAGTTGTGGTCAGATTCGAGAGTTGACTACTTTGACTTGGCTTCTTTGACTAGCTGGTTTAACTCCAAACAAGTAATTTGAATGCTCATGCGTTTCAATTTGACTGTAAATCAGGTTTTTTTATTGAGTCTTCCAATAAGCCCTGTCTAGCATAGCTGTGTAACCGTCCAAGTTGCCACGTGAAAATAAAAGAGACGAACGTAAAGGACAAAGAAATCAAGAAAAAGTAGTCGAAACTTGTAGAAGTTGATAAAATAGAGTGAAGATAATGTTACTGTGAATGCATCTACATCACACATCGATGCTGAGCCATATCGCCAGCTTTGGCTGTCATACAGACTCAATGAACTGATGTCATTTTAAAATCTAACCGCCTCTAATCTTTTTCCATACTGAATATACTTCGGTTAATGACCATGTTACACAATAATACAGTAAAACAGAGCAAACATCATTTCAGTACACTCGGCCTTTTTGATAATATGCAGTCAAATATCATGAGGATGCCATAAGTGGCGTAGGCTGGCCTTCGCCAGCCTAGGCGTTTGAATGTGTGTAGTGATTTTGTCGGTCACTGATCGATTGTGAATGATGCGAATTGCCAGTTGAGAGCAGTGATCACCTTGCTGATCATCATCATTATCAACATAGGACCAGGCATTACTGCGTAACGGTCCGAGTTGCCACACCTCATATCAGCACATCAAGTAAAAAGGTAGTGAGGTGAAGGATGAAGATAAGTGAATGCAGTCAAAAGAAATATAAAGTATGAGAAGAAAGGAAAGAGGAGTGACAAAATAGTGAGATTCGGTATAGCGTTGTTAAGATGAGGATAATGTGTGTATACATCTGCGCCACTGACTTCGGTTCTGAGCCATATCACCTAGGGTCTCCAACCACTGGTTCCTCTTGTCCCGTGGACCCCAACCACCTAGTCTGCATCGTCCTACATGGCTTAAACCAACAGTCAGAGACTTCATACATTGGTGCCATGTTTTAGTCTGGCCACCTCGGGCCTTTTTCCAGCCTGAACCCACCTCAGCCAACATTGTGTGACGAGGCAATCGGTGACTAGGCATACGTAGTACGTGTCCCAACCATCTCAGTCGATGAAGGTTCACAACCTCGTCGACTGACTTACCTCTTCTCCCTAAAACTCTACACCTAACTTCTGCATTACTCACATGGTGACACCACGGAATACGTCCTATACTACGAAGGCAACGGTGGTCAAATACCTGTAACCTTCTCATGTCTTCCACTTTCAATGGCCATGTTTCACAGCCATACAGTAGAACAGAGCGGACTGCTGTGCAGTACACGCGACCCTTAATAGACAAACGAATATCACGGCGGCGCCATAGGTGGCGCAAATTGGCAAAAGCCAATCGAGCCTTTTGTATCCGTGCAGAAATCTCATCGGCAACTAACCCACCGGAGTTGATCCTACTTCCCAGGTAAGTGAAGTGGTCAACACACTCAACCACTTCACTCTCTATTGTTAACCGCGGTACCGCTGAAGACCAGTCCTGGAGCAAAAATTTGCATTTGGGTGGTGAAAATCGCATCCCAAACATTCTCAAATTCCCACTCAAAGTGTTCAGAAGACTCTGCATCTTGTCAGCGTCTTCACCTAACAGGACTATGTCATCTGCATATTCTAGATCTAAGGAAAATTCACCTGTGATCCGGTCAACGTCTTTGTAATTAGGTGACGAGAGGGAAACCTCCATAAGAATATCTATGATAAAATTAAATAAGAATGGGGATAGTGGGCATCCTTGACGGACACCACTTGATGAGTATAGCTCCCTGGACAACTCACCATAGGCTCTAACATGCCCACAAGTGTTCGAGTAGAGAGCTTTCAATAAGGTGATGTACTTACTAGGCACGCCTTTCAGTGACAGACACTGCCATAAGACTTCTCGATCAACGGAGTCAAATGCCGCCTTCAGGTCGAGAAATACAGCTATTGTCGGGCGTCTGTAAGCATGCCTATGTTCCAGGACCTGGCGCAGTGTGAATATTTGGTCGATACATCCACGGCCAGGTCTAAAGCCTGCCTGGTTTTCTCGGGCTTGCTGTTCCCGAGCTCCACTCAGGCGTCGGAGAATTATAGAACTTAGGATCTTAGACACTATGTTTGTCAGGCTGATTCCTCTGTGGTTATCACAAGAGGACTTCTCGCCTTTCTTGAAGACTGGGATGATCAGTGACTTAGACCAGTCGGAGGGGATCGTATTTGATTCCCATATACTGGCTAACACTTCCGTTAGCCTGACTAAGAGAACTCTACCACCATTCTTGTATACCTCAGCAGGTAGTCCGTCTGGTCCTGCTGCCCTTCCCCGTTTCAGGCTACCTACCGCTTTCTCAACTTCTTCTAGTGTTGGGGGACCTGTCTCTATGTCCCATTCAGGGTCCGACTGGATAGCGGGCAGCGCAATGGTGGCTGGAGGCCAGTTAAACTGTTCCTCAAAGTGTTCTGCCCATCGTCCCAGTCGCCTTCCCTGCGAGTGAATCGCCGATCCGTCCTTCTCCGCTATAACCTCACTAACTGTTGTTGACCATTTCCCCCCAGTCTCCTTAATAAGTCTAAATAACTGTCTACTGTTACCGATCGCCGCTGCCTTTTCCATCTCTTTAGCCTTTGCTGCCCACCACTGTTCACGATCGTTGCGCAGACTTTTCGTCAGTTTATTTTTAAGTTGCGCTCGCTCTTCATTGTACTCAGAGCCTGCAGGGATGCATTCACGTGCATCCATTAGTTTGGAAGAAGCTGCTGATATCCACTGGCTCTTTTTAGCCATTATCTTGGAGTCGGCTACAGTCTCCAGTGCTGCTTTTACAGTAGACTGAAGATGGCACCAAGCTTCTTCTGGATGAGTGACAGTCTTTTGTTCCGATAACTGCCTAGCCAACTTCTCACTGAACACGGCTTTGGTGTTTTCGTTGTCCAGCAGAACTCGTAGTGGTTTTGTTGCCAAATTTTTTCTACGTCCATTGAGACGCAGGCATATACGTGCTCGGACCAACGCATGATCGCTGTCCAAACACGTACTCCAGAAGGAGCGGCAGTCTTCCACCGATCCTCTCCAGCGATGACTAATAGCAATGTGGTCTATCTGTGTCCATCGCTGAGTCGAGCTCGGTGGACGCCAGGTCAGACAGTGCCTTTCTTTATGTCTGAAATTTGTGCTGGCTAAAAATAGGCGGTTATCTGAGCATAGTTGTAATAGGCGATCACCGTTATCTGTACGTTCAGCTGGGATTCCGAAAGTGCCACCTAAGTGCCTTTCTGCCTCACTCAGTCTACCCACCTGTGCGTTGAGGTCACCTGCAACAACCACTACGTCCGAACGTTTGGCTTTCGAGAGGAGGTTAGACAGTTTATGGTAGAACTCGTCCTTCACTTCATCCGAACTACAGTCAGTGGGTGCGTAAGCAGAGATTACAAAGAGACAACGGCGAGTCTCACTATTCCTTTTAGTTCTCACTGTGCCGTTCAGCCTCATAGCGCAGAGGCGACTATCAACTGGGATCCAGTCTAGTAGTGAGTTTTCTGCCCTGGTGCTTAATGCTATACCTACACCTGCAAGACCACGAGAGCTAGCTATCGAATCTCCAGAAACTCGAAGGGTGAATTTTGCAGATTCACCAGATTGGTCAGGAGAGGTCAGGTGAATAACCACACTTGGGTCCTGTATGCGTGTCTCACAAACACAGCACACATCCATGCCCGAGTTGCTAGAGTCTTTGCCAACGAAGCCTGTTGGCCAATTTGACGGAGGGTGCGGACATTGAAGGCTCCAATATGTAATTTGGAGCGTGGTTTAAGGAGACCAGGGACACTGTTCTGTGGACTCAGATCGTTGTCGAAGGCTGCAGAGGTAGGAGAAATTGAAGATGATGCAGCATCATTAATTAAGAGACGTGAAGGAAGATTAGAAGGTAATGATGGAGGAGGAGGATAGCAGTCAGAAGAAACTTGGGTGCTGACAGAGTTGTGAGGGCGGTTGACACTTCCCGGCTGCCCACACCGTGGAAGGCTATTTCTTCTTAAGGTACCTGAAAGAGATTTGTGTGACCGCAGAGCCCATCGGACATCTGCTTGAGGCCTGTCACACCCAGCCTTTTGAGTATGATTATTTTGAATTTTTGTATTTTTGGGGCCGGATGAGCGAAAGGAAACGACAAGTGAACCAACACCGCCGGCCCGGCAGACCGTGGGGCGTGGTGGAGTGTGTTATTTTTGGGGCCGACCTTTTCTAACCCCCCCTTCCACTGAGAAGGCAGCATCAGCTTGGCACTGCTGGTCATCCAAGGGAAACACCTTACTGCTGTCACACCCCATCCAGCTAGCAGCAGTACGACTTCGCCCTCAGACCCCCATCATAGTATAGCAATTTACACTATGACGGTAACTGCTTTTCGTCTAACCACTACCCAACAGACCTTTCTGGTATGGTAGGACCTCGAGGGAACAAGCGTTCCACCAGCATAGCTCGTTGGGTCATTGTGATATGCAAGCCCGACCACCACGTCAAGGTAGCAGCTATCGGTCGGGAGCAGCTATCGGTGTGGTGTAGTGGTTGTAAGTGGAGCAACAATTCTCATTTAGATGATGGGAAACTCATGTCGAACATTATCAAATTGACACTCAAGGTGTCCAGAAGATTTCGCATCAATATGACGTCATACCATTCCCTGTACGACGTCCATGGTTGTTTAAATATGGCATCTCCAATAGAATGACCTACTTGCTCGGTACCCCTTTTTCATTGTAATACTGCCATAACACTTGTCGGTCGATGGAGTCGAATGCTACCTTCAGGTAGACGATACAGTTAATGTTGGTCGGTGGTAAGTATGAGGATTTTCCAAAACCTAACCGGGGATGATTATCGATTGAATACAAGACGACCAGGTCTTAAAACTGCCTGGCTTTCTTGTATACGCTTCTTTGATCTTCACTCACATGTATCATGAACATAGGACCTTGGACACAATGTTAGATTCGTTCCTCTCTGGTTGTCACGGCATGAATTCTCTCTTCTCCTGAATACTGGAACAATAATAGATTCAGACAAGTCAAAAGTAATGATATCTCATTCTAATACGCTAGCTAACAATTAAGTTAACTTGACCAGTAATCCTTAACTACCATCCTTAAAAACTTTCAGTATTGCCCATGGGAGCTTTCTACTCTTCCTTGTTTCAGGTAGCTTACAGCCTTCCCAACTTGTGCAAGAGTTTGGTAGCCTATCTGAGTGTTGTGTTCACGATACAACTGCTCATAAATGTGTACCATCAGTGGGTTTTTTTTGAAGGTTTAAGGCCTGATTAGCTATTTTACATCCAGAATATTGGCACTACTCATCTACAAACTCATCATTGAAGTACGAACCTGAGTAGCATTGGTAACCAGACAGTTTCATTTTCCCTTCATCCGACATGCAGCACTGGGAGCTGTCGTTTGTTCCCGGCAGTGTTTTTCAGAAAGTTTTGAATTTTAAAAGTAAATGTACATATAGATTCCTAGGATCTTGCAAGTGCCGACCGTCATTACTTCGATTTTGTAGACATATTGACGTATCTTACTCATTTTGTTGGCGAGGGTCTGTGGTGTTATCTTCAGCTTTTTCTGTGGTTCAGTCTAGCCTTATCTTCGCCTCTCGATGAAATCGTATCACATTACATATGTGTTATCTCCCCTACAAGATCATAAATGTGAAGTGTTGAAACTGAAGGTCAAGTTCACATAATTAGTGCTTTATGCGCTATCTGGGCTCGATTTCTTCTTAAAATAAATCTTTCAATGACCAATGCTACTCCTGCTGAAACTCGGTTAGTCAACCAGCTAGGCAGTAGTAAACATGGAGCGTCGTATTACTGCATAAACAGTGCAATTTGTCACATCTCACCTCAGCGCATACAAACTAGATCAAGTCCATGGTTGTGAAAAGTCATTTAGAGAAAAAGAAGAGGGCATTCTAGCGATTAAAGAAATGTGATAAAGAACCAATATGAAAATTAGGTGCGTATGTATATGCTTCATTGCGAGCCATATCACCTTGAGTCTTGGACCATCCATTTCAGTCTTCATGTGGACGTCAACCTAATAGTCTACATTTCCCCACACTCATCAAACCAACAGTCAGAGACTGCATGAACTGGTGTTACGTTGGTGTCGCCAGTCATGATTTTTTACTAACATAACCCCAATTCGACCGATGTTGCGCTTCAGAGTAGACAGTTAGTAGTTATGCGTAGCGCATATTCTAACCACCTCAGTTTTTGAAAGCTAACAGTGTTGTCCTTTACCTGAAACCCCTACGCCTAACCTCTACACGTGCTGGTTCTGCGAAGCGCTGCCAATGTTGATTACCAAAAAACCTATCGAGGGACTACATAAGATGATGAGAATTTTTGGCTGTATTTATTTATGGCGCATACGTGTATATTTGTATCAGATTTAAAATGGGATAGTTCTGTCAAAGCAATCGTTGTAATGTGGTGAAATTCAATTTGATTCATACATCGAATCTGTTAATTAGTTTAACACACTGTCATGAAAAAGTTGTAACCCATTCAAATTTCGATTAGTGGTTTGCAGCTATAAGCTCTGTTCCATTTATAATAAGGCTTGAACAATCAAGTAGCGATAATCAAGGTGTGAGTAACAGTCAGGTACACAAATCTGCTTATCATCATCGAATTACATTATATAGTCCACTGTCGAATTGTCAGTACCAAGATGTGATTGAAATCATACCTATATCTATATTCCTTTTCCAACTTAATTATCATTGTTGTTAACTGACAGTTTTTTCATAGTTATTTGTTTTCTCTCGTTTTTAGGATTCCAAATCTAATCTATTAACATTTCAAAAAACAACGAATAAAGCATTATGTACATTGAATGAACATCAAATAGTAGTGCTCTTCTATTATGTTTAACAATTCGTCTAATCAACTGGATTACATCAGAAATAGTTTTCACGTCGAAAGCCCTAATAGCATCATCATCATCATCACTATCGAATGAACACATTTCAAATATATTAGATACAAAAACAGTTGATGATAATTTAATTGATGAAAAGAATACAAACTGTGCCCTTACCTTTACATCCTGATCAGAAAACTAATGCACAGTTAAAGCTTAAGTCTTACCGATCAGAATTAGTAATTGCATTGAATTTATTATTTCTCTGGTTTCGATCAATAACTACCGATGGTGTTAATGCAGGTAATCTTTAATTAACAGGTAATTAATCTTGCAATCATTGACTTAGTTAATTAGGCTTAAGAAATGAAAATTTACGAAGTAATCTTAAATAGAGAATTAAGTTATATGAGGGTGGAATTTTGGGCATCTGAATTATATATATTCCAAGTTCAACGGTCCCCTTTTTCCTAATTGTCAGTTTGGACTACTATAACACGATCATTATCCGGTGTCATCGGTGGGCATCCATCCTCACTCCCGACTTGGTTGACCAGTAGAATTTCGGAAATCCCTGTCTACACAAGTCACAAAGCTGTAATCTCTGCATCCAACCAATTCGGGATGGAAAGCGAATACACCCCGATGGTATTAAATAATGGCTGTGGCATGTTGTAAATCGACCGAAGTAGTAAAAGTGTACTATCGGACTCAAAACTAGTGACTGAATGGTAAAGTGCTCGTCGTAACACCTGCCAGTCCTAAGTGTAAACCCTTGTGGGTTCTTGAATGCGTGTTGCTGAGTCGCAATGTAGTATGAAACGGCTATGTAGTGCCTCTCATATTCTCAAATGATTGTCCAAATAATGTCAACTTGTGGTGAATACGAGTTATGTATATCACTGTAAAATAAAATCCAAATGTAATTCATAGACATTAAGATACATTAATTGTCTCCGTAATATATCAAATGTATGCAGTACTCCAAGATAAAATGTAGATCCCGATTATTATTTATCATTTTGACTATCTGAAATAGCCGAGGTTTTGACAGACTAGCATTGATACTAAGTGATGATTGAACGTGGAATAAAAATTTGGACCATGAACGGATTCGAAGCAGCGAACACCGGGTTACTGGCTCGATGCTCTACCAACTGAGCTACGAGGTGTGACTGCTGACCAGATTTCTATTTTGCTGCAATCACCAAAGGTTTTATCCAACTACCATGTGAATTCGTGATGCGTTACTACCGCTTGATCATATTCACACTGGCTGCTGAGTCACGACTTCTCATCTTAATCCAGATGTAACTGAATTATAGAGTGGGAGCATCATATTGATTATCTGACATAAGTTGAAGTGTTTAGGTACAGTTTATAGCATACTTTTTCAGTTCATAATAGACTTTTAGGGTATCCCTACTTCTCTACTTCGCTTCACCGTTTTGTTAAGAAAGCTGATGCTACCGTCATTTTTTGTCTTAAACGTCGTAACATATGAAACGTGTACTCAGAAAACTTCATTACACATGATGAATGTGTCCGTTGATAAACCTTGCAACTAATATTGTTTCTTGCTTTTGCATTTAGGCTTTTTTTCCCTCATTGTTGATCGTAAAGGTAACTGTAAATACGTGATCCAGCGTAATTTCTATTGCTACTTTATTAATTTGATGCTATGAGATGTTTTTGAACGAAAGTCAAATATTATTGGTGCTCATCGCTAGTTTTTAAAACAAATTTTGAAATATTGACCGGCAGAGCCTCTGGCTTCATGAAGTGTTTTCCGTTTAAAAACGAAATATACATCATTATCCTAATTACTTGCTGAATATTACTTACTCCTCATTGATGCCTTCTCCACGGTTGTCGCTTCTTCCACTCATCACTGCTTGCGATTATTCCGAAGACCTAATCGATTTACGATTGAGCTGTTTTCTCTCATCACTGGGATCACAACCAGCTGGAATCAATCTTCTCGCATCAATAAGTGAGGATGAATCTGTGGGAGTCTACTCGCTTTTGTTAACCGTTGGATGTAAGTTACCAACTGTCTTTACTGATTGACCGACAAAATCAACGTAGAACCTCGCACACATGTGCATGGGCTCAAGTTGCCACACCTCAGTAGTACAAAGGGAACAGGTGAATAGAAAAGAAGTTATATCAAAGTAGATAAAGTAGTGAAAGACTAAACAATCTGAAGGTAAAGGTTAGCGCAAATACTCAAGCTTTAGAAGATGTCGAGGAGTACATACCCCTGCACCATTGTGACCGATTTTTCACCCATGTTACCAAGACTCCTCAACCACTGATTTCTTTCAACTCGTGCACTCTTTCAGGCATTCTACATCTCCCACATATCACGTCTTCTTTCGATCACCCTGCCTAAACCAACTTCCTCTAGCTAGCATGGCACGTCGAGGTAGGCGATGACTTGGTATGCACACTACGTGTTCAAACCACCTCAGTTAAATAAGGTTCACAAACCCATCAGTTGACTTTCCTGTCTTGATAAGTACCCTTCGCCTGATGGCATTCCTCGCGTGATGACTCCACCGAACGTGAGCAATGCTACGAAGACATCTAACATCAAAAACTTGCAATAGCTTAATATCTACTTGTAATCTCCATGTCTCAACGTCATACAACAGGACAGTACGGATTACAGCTCAGTTTACTCGTCCTTTGATAGATGGTCGGATATCTCGCCAGTTAGCTTCATACACACTTAGCCAATGCCAAACAGATCTTCTGCATACGAGCTGAGATTTCTTCAGCAACTAGCCCGTTCGAGCTGATCCAACTCCCCAAGTTAGTGAAGTCCGCCACACATTCCACCACTTCACTCTCTACCACTAAACTGGGAGTATTTGCAACAGACCAACTCTCAAACCATCATCTTACATTTCACATGTGTGAAACACATAGATCAGCTAAACATACTCAGATTTCTGCTCAACCTGTTCACCAGATCCTGAGTTTTGTCAGTGTATTCACCCACCAGGACAATATCATCTCCAAACTTCAAGTCAATCAGATGACCTCCGGGGAATAGATCAATCTCTGCCTAGTCACAGTTACCACAGCTTATGTCCATCAGTAAGTCTATAACGAAATTGAATAGGAGGAGTGACGGTGGGCATCCGTAATACATAAAGTATCCCGAAAACTATATCTTGTCAAGATTTTCACGTGACACAGAACTGTTATCTGTGTTTTGTAGGCTTACTTGGTGATCTTCTGCAATATGCTCAATGGCTGTGAAGTGAAACGAAGAAGGGTGTATTCGCAAGTATTTCTGTGATGATATGAAATGAGAATGCTGATAGTTGATATATTTGAAGGATATCACTCCATGTAGTTGTTCCAATTGATATCTCACTGTAGGCTTTTACGCATCCGCAGTTATTCAGAAGCAGCACTGTCAAGTGTGATGTATCTATTTGTTATCGCTTTCAGTGAGAGAAGCTTTGATGAAACTTCTGATTCAACGGAGTCGAGTACCATCTTCAGGTCAAGAAATACATTTAGTTTTAGGTGGTAGTAAGTGAACCTGTGTTACACAAGCTGGCGAGGACTTAAATTACTATAGGTGTAATGATGACCAGGTTTGAAATATGCCTGGTTTCTTGTGCTTGATATTGTGAAGTTTTGTTTCGATGCCTATTTGTTGTCGAAGGTGAGATGTTTGATACTTGTTTTTGCTGATTCCTCCTTAGCTATGACCACAATGAGATCTGTCTTTGTAAGTTGAGTAAAGCAGTGGCTGTGACAAGCTGTAGGAGTAACCCACCTGAATACCACACGCAAGATACTATTTCAGCGTCTTCACCCATCAGGACAATATCGTCTGCATACTTTAAGTCAACCAGATGACCTTCGGGGAGTAAGTCAGTCCCTACGAAGTCACAGGTACCTAAGTTGATGTCCATCAGTACATCTAAGAGAAAGTCAAGTAGAAAGAATGACAGTGGGCATCCCTGGCGGACACCACTACTTGTCGTCAGTTCTGACAAAAACTCTGCATAACCCCTTACACGGCTGCGTTAGTTCCAGTAGAGAGCTTTGATTAGCGTTATGTACTTGATCGATACTCTCTCCACAATCAGATACTGCCACAACACCTCACAACAGACAGAGTCTAATGTCGCCTTCAGGACAACAAATGAAGCAAGTGTCGACCAGTGGCCAGTAGGTATGTTCGTGTTCCAGAACCTGTCTAAGGATAGAAATCTGATTGGTGCGCCGTCACTCCGTCCAGGTCTGAAAACGTGCCTGGTTTTCTTGTGCTCCAGCTAAGCATCAGATAACTATAAAGTCTAGGGTCAAACTAGTTCTCCCATGTTTGTCACAAGACTTTTCTCCCTTCTTATTGATTGGGATGATCAGATAAATGGACCAGTCTGATGGCATTACCTTTGATTCCCACGAGGTAGCTAGTACCTTTGACACTTTAATCAGCAATTTCCTACCTCTGTCCTTGTAAACTTCGGGTGGTAAAATGTCAGGTCCTGCTGCTTTGTATCGTTTCGGGTTCGATACAGCTTTCTCAACTTCGAGGAGAGTTGGAAGACCGACATCTGCGTCCCCTCCAGGTTGAGGCTGGATGTTGGGCAACTGAAACGTTTCTGTGGTCCAGTTGGACCTTGCTTCAAAGTGTTCTGCCCAACATTCTAGCCGTCTATCCTGAAAGGTTACCAGAGTACCATTGTTTTCAGTGATGGCACCACTGACCATCGTTACCAACTGTCTTTACCACTGTTTTGAAAGTGGACATAATACACCACCAGGTTTCCTCAGGATGAGCATTGGTATCACGTCCAGATAAATGCTTATCTAACTTCCCCCTAAAAACGTATTTCGCATCCTCATCTTCTAATCGACCACAGACAGACTTTGTCATCGCCTGGTTTCTACGATCAGTAGGGCACAGACCTATACGAGCCCTTACTAATGCGTGGTCGGAGTACAAACTGGCACTGAGGAAACAGCGACAATCCTTCACCGATCCTCTCCAACGATGGTTCATAGCAGTGTGATCTGTCTGTGTCCATCATTGGTTTGATGTTGGTGGACGCCATGTGAGACTGTCTCCCGTTGTGCTTAAGGTTAGTACTGGCTGGAAAAAAGTGGTTGTCGGACCAATACTGTAACAAACGATCACCGTTGTCAGTTCGTTGTAATAGGATACTGTAAGTACCTTCCAGAAGCCTCTTCGATAAGGCTTAGGTTCCCTATTTGATTGTTAAATTCACCTGGACGTTTTGCTTTTTGTAGTGAAATTGAAAGCTTCTCATAGAATTCATACTTTGCATCATCCGGTCTACTGTTGGTGTGTGTAGACGAAGATTTTGACTAGGTATCGGTTGGTCTCACGATCCTTTCTAGTTTGTACAGAGTATTTAAATGGCTGTTGACTGGTATCCAGTCGGAAAGTACTTTTTCTCCTCAACAACTCAATTTCGTGCCTACAACAGCCAGTCCTCGTGAACTGGACTTTAATCTCAGAACAGTTATGGGCTGAATATTTCAGAATCTCCACCTTGGATCGGTCAGGTCAAGTGAATAACCACACTCACGTCCTATATATGTACCTCACAGATACAGTATACATCCATGACTCAAGATTCTTGAGTTTTCCCAAGTGACACTTGTTGTCAGATTTGCTATAGGGTTCGGAGATTGAAAGCGTAGCTGGAATTAGGTAGTGGCATTTTAGGTTGCTGTTTCACCGACTTTTGTAGTTGGGAATATTTGTTGGGTGAAAGGTTAAGGAAGTTTTACGTTTCACAGTGATATCAGGTATAGAAGACATGGGTGGAAACAAAGGTAAGGAGGGCAGGTTTCGATTGATTGGGTTTTGTAAACTGCTCGAGGCGTATAGGCGGTTGGTCCTGCGTGGCTGCCATCACCTAGGAAGTTGTTTCTGCAGCGTACCTGAAAGCGAAAACGGAATAGTTGTATGTGACTGTATAGCCCTTGGGATATATTCTCTAGGTCTGTCACATATGGCCTTTTTAGAATTTTTAGCTTCAAGTTTCATTATGCTAACGCTGGACAACTAAAAGTGCGATCATTGACACGGGGACACCGCATGTACACATAGCGTGTCATCAGTTATTTTGTTCAACCTTTTATACTAACGTTTTACACTCTTTCTGTTTTTGAAGTAGATATGATAAGATGTGATGAAAGTGCCAGAAATAGAGCAATCTTTGTAAACCAATTAATTATATTCTTTACTTATGTTCTGAGCATGTCTTCTTTTGTACTGTCTTTTCTTTCTCAAGGGATGAAGTCATCCTATCAGTTAACAGATTCACTCTTTAAACTAATAACTCCTGCATTCACTGAGGAGACAGTTAATTGTTTGAACACTTTAATTCATCAGTATCAATGGCTATTACTCTGTGATGCTGAGAAGAATTGCTATGAGGATAAACAAACTACTGATATTTCTGTTAGTAGTTATCATAATGATGTGCAGCTGGCCAATCATGATTTAAGTATTGTTGAAGAAAAAACTTCTAGTCACAATGATAGCAACAGTGATGATGCTGGTGGTGATAAAAGTGGAAATTCGGGTTCTTCTAGAGTTGATGATGACCATGTGAATATTGTTGATACACCGGACGAGAAGAGGCTTAATGTCGAAGTTCATCCCACTTCTATAGACTGGTCGCGTTTAATGAAAATTCCTGAGATTGTTGTCCTACAAGTATGTTTACCACCTACCTTTATGCATCATTGCATCAACTTCCTACCATTTTTATCTGACTTTTTTACTTTATATAGTATGAATAGTAATTGATATTTATGATTGATAAATGTTAAAAGTGTATGAATTGTTCCCCGTATGCTAACTAGTTTTACCTTTCGAGCTAACCAACGTCTAGTGATCAGTAAGTTGACAAGTTTAGGCATTTACTGCATAGGACTTGCCTTTGTGTTGGCTAGTCTGTCCAAGTTGTCTACCATCATTTTGAAAGGCCATGGGTTCGAACCCCGCTCCATCTACCAGCCAAGTAGTATCATTAATCCTCACACAATAAGTGTAGCTCATTTTCCTACTTCACCAATGTGCACACGGTTGATGAGCATATTTCAGCTTACTTCAATTTCTATCATTTCGGTGAATCAAGATAGCAACTTTGAGGAAACTGGTGTTCCCTCGGTGATTTGAACTTGTATCACCGAGTGTTTCACTCAGAGACTTTACTGTTTAGCTATTTAGTTCAAGACTAGCCTCTATGAGTAACCGATGTAGCTGTTTGAACCGTAGTAATAAATTTATTTGATGACGTTTTTACCACAACTTATTACTCAATCATACGAGGATAATCACATAGCTTCTACATTCAGTTTTGTCATTTGTCACTCCTTTGTTTCAATAGTAATACAATTTCCTATCTCGTCTGTGCATGTTATCTACTCTTTTTTCTCTGTAAAGTCTTTACTACCGCTGTTTATTTAGGTTTAAGCTTTTGAGAAATTCTTTGTAATCATTGATCTTAACGAATACTTTTCATAGATGTTTATACTACGTACTGACTTGAAGAACTAAAGACTTGCATCATCATCTAGCAATAACAGTTATGGAAGCTATCATTTAGCTGTAAGTTCACAACTGAACTTATGTAAGAGTTGATCACGTACATCTATCTACCGTTGGTCAACAACAAGTGGTCTATCGTGTAGTCTTGCTTGAACTGTATAATAAGATTTCGGTTTCTTTTCAGTGATTGATCTTACCTTATATGGAACGTTTTAAGATACCCGTTAGTGTTTTAAAAATCAGGAAATGATAATAACGAAACGCTAATCAGTATGAATAAGCATAAAATCAATGTGTTCGAAATATTTTTTGGGAAAGATGAGACGGTGTAATGTCACTGATAAACCAGGGCAATGTATGGTCAAAGATGAATCATTTTGCCAAATATCTAAATGAATTAAGCATTATCTGTCGAGTGAAGATCATCTATTTTATCCCAGATGTGTTTAATCAGAAGCAAGTCAAAAACCAACTCAGTAGTGAATTTCCAAAAAACTTAGGTAAACTGCCTATCGAATGTTGAGTTAAACCAGCCCCAAAATGAAGCTGTTTACCCTAAGTTTCGGTTTCACATCCCAAAGAAGGTCTTCAACAGAACGTATACCGAAAGATATTTTGAGCAAGTATTTAATCAACTGGTTGATCTACAGTCAGATGACCAAGGTAGTTCAATTCTGGACTTGACGATATTGCAAATCAGTACCATACGTCCGCATTACCCCAGTTGAAACTCCTCACCAAAGGACACCGTTCGGCTTTGAAGGAATTGGTAAAAGACGAACAAATCGTAATTTTTCAACCTGACAAGGGCTCCATTGCTGTTGTAGTGTGTAAGGAAAAACAGAACAACGTTTCCATCAATGCATAACTCTCATATCACAAGCTTTCCCGTTGGAAAATATTCGCAGTATTTCGTCTTTCCGCTCACTCTTCTTCACTTCTTTGTCCAGTCTAGTGTTTTATAGGCTGTCTTCGCTCCCTCTTTTCGTTGTCCATCCCTGCACTGCACCGGATTATCTTCTGCTTCCTCTCCCTTGTCGTTTGTAGTTTTATCCTTCAGTTTCTGTTCTGGGTGTTCAACTTGAACTGTGGTCTATCACCAAATTCTTTGAAGGCTTTCAACTTGATTTGGAAGGTTCCTTGCACAAGATAATGGTTTGAGCCTGCATCTGCTCCCCTTCTTGATCTAATCTAGCGTCCAGTAGGCTGCATCTCCACTTTCTTCAGATTGAGATGAAATTGATCTGGTTTTTAGTGTGTCCTGGTGTCTGGTGAAATCCATTTCACTTCCTTGTGAATATCCTTGTGTTTCTACACACTGCCTTCAATCACCAAATCGTTGAATGCGCAGAAGTCTGTAAACAGTTATCCATTCTTCTTCATCATTTCACCGAGTTCTTCTCGACTCATGTCCAGTTCTCTTCCTGTGTTGTCCACTCCCAGTTTGTCTTGCATTTATGTCACCCCACCCATTAGAATTTTGATGTCGCCAACTGGGATGAGGTATTGTCTAGTACTGGTTGCAGTTGTCTATAGAATTCCACCTTCTTCTCTTCATCTGCATTGTTTATAGGTGCATAGCGTAGCATTGAATGGTTGTGACTTTCTTTCCTTTTGAGTTGAATTTTGCTGTCATGATCCTGCAGGAGGAGATTGGTTCCCACTGCATGAAAGAGAACTTTCGATGCTCTTGGAGACATCACGATAGCCACTCTAACTCAGCGTGCTCGTGGTTGTCATCTGGGAGGTAATATTGGAGTAGATTATTGACTCTCCAGTTAAGAGTTTGGAGAGTCCACTTCCATTTCATCTGGTTTCGCAGATTCCAAGCACTTCTATGTTATACCTTCTCATCTCTTTGGCAATCTGGGCAGCAACCAACCAGCTTCAAATATTGTGCGGATATTCTATGTCTCTATGCTTACTTTCGCTTTCACTGAGAGAAGACACATCGGCCGACTGGCTTCCCGAAGGCTTTCACCAACAGGCGTCATTTCGCCTCTCCTATTCCAGCGAGGAATAATTTTGTTTATTTTTGATAATCTCTTTTGTGCTTTGAAGTTTCTTTAGCGATCGGATTGGTTTTACGGGGTAGGATTGCTAGCCCTATGTCCAACCTTCCCTCTCTATCCGGGCTTAGGACCAGCTAGTAACTAGTGAACTAGTTAACCAGGCGAGGTTACTACAAGCAATAACACTAATAACAATAATAATAATAGTATTATTATTATTATAATATTATTATTATTTTAAACTTTCGCAGGGTTTTACGCCTCTCCGTGTACCAACACAACGTTCTTTATGCTGTTCATCAACGGCATACAATCCTATGCATCCTTTCTTTTTTATCGATTTCTGCGATAATGAACTGACTCAGTCATCAGCTGTAAAAATGGATAATGTATATATGAGGAAATCATCAACTCCAGTATTTGGAGATAATACAAAGTGTATCAGTGAAACAGAGCGTGTTCTATGTTTGCTAACATCTGCTCGGTTAGTTTACTCTTTGATTTTTTTCGGTGAAACTGTCTGAAATGGCCTTAGTTTAACAAAATGATGTTAATATAATTGACCGTTGATTAAAGCTGGTTCGCTGTATAATTTAAATCTTATCACGATGAAGGTATATTTCCGTTTCATCTTCAAGCATTGCTTAGTTGCATTTTTCTGTTGTTGTTAGGAATTTCACTTAATAAATGTTAATAGAAAGGGGATCATAATTCATCTGAATGATGGTCTAGCTTTTATTTCAAGTTATCCTGTTCTCTTACTAGTTCGTGTATGTGTAACAGAGAGGTATTATGGAAACGATTGTTTTCTGTGTTTTTGCTACTCAACTTCAAACTGACAGTGTTAATTGAAAGATGTTTAAGAAGAAAGTATCGTGCCATTGAAAATTTCAATTCAAATGATGGACACTACGTCGCCACATAGAGTTGTTCAGTGATTAAGTCAGATAGACAAAAATAGAAGCTGTTGTGTAAAGCGTAAGGCGTTGATAGACAAGAAAGTTAACTTTTCGATGATGTCATTTCCGAAGGTTGTGTTTATACTGGCTAAAAGTTGATAAAAATCGGTTGGATAGTGTTATTACATCATAGAAAACAATTGTTGTCATCCAAACAAAAGTATTTTAAATTTGTAACAATTAGTCTCTTTTATGAATTAAAAAAAGATGAGAACGAACAGGAGTGACATAGTTGACCCTAATCTTGGTAAGAAAACAAAGTTTATCAAGGTAGGTATAGTGTATTAGAACAAACTTTTTTTTAAACATAAAGGTAGTTTTAAATTGTTTATGGCTATGGCTTGCACAAATCTCAGTATACGTCCCTGACTATTTCTGTTTAAAACTTTGAAAGCTGTTTGAACAATTATTTTGTGAATGTTTTTTATAATATCCTTGGCTATAGATAAAGAAGGTCGTCTCCCACCAGCGTTTATCACGGTTTCACACTCTGTTTATTTTTAAAGCCACTTAAGTACACGTTCTTCCACCCTCAACTCCATGGCCTGTTACTCCCCCTTTGTATGTGTGACCACACACACATATAAATTGGTAAACATTAATGGGGCGTGACGTAATCAGTGATGCAGTGTTTAGGTTTGTGGTAAAGCATGTGTTTTATTTTTTCCACAATAATAGTATTTTTTTAATGGCTGATATTAGCCCACAGCTCAGAATTGTACTACTCAACTCCCCTCTGTATGGTATGGTAATGTAGTCGCCTTTCTTAGGAACCGTGTACAGAGTTGGTTCGGTGCTAACTGACTTCTACAACGGTTTTCAGTGTTTTTGTATTTTTAGTCTACAAGAGAAACGAAAGAATAGTGAGAAAGTAAAGTAATAACTAATCCGGTGACAAAAATGAAAACGTTTTACTTAACAAAGAAAGAAAGATCTCTGGTAAAGCCAAGGTTGAGCTCCCTTACGATCAATTGTCGGTCATTCGGTTGTATACAAATGATATAGTCCTGTGTAATGGAGTTGTAACTAGGGTAAAACTGTCTGTATCTGTTGAGAAAACTGTGTGTGTTGCTAAACTACATATTCCATCTTCCAGTCAACTGATCGTTGTTACCTAGTCCTGCTTTGTCTACGTGTGTTCACAAGCTAAGTTACCTATGTCGGGTGCAAAACTTTATGCAGGAGATACTTCTAGACAAGTAAAGAGACATCATGATGAGCATCTACTTTTGTGGTTTGAAAAAATCAAACGAAAGGAGTTGGTAAGAAAGGAAAATCTACACTTACATATCGTCCATTGTAGTCAAACACTAGAAAGGACCAATGTACCTAATATTATTTATCCCATACAGCCAACCTCCGAAACGCAGTTGGAAATCGTTTTTTGTACAGGTCTAAAAGCATGCCAATTCAAGTTAGTATCCGTGGATTTATGTACAGATAATTTGCGTACAATCTTTCCTCCCTTCCCATTCTTCACCTCTTTTACACAGCTAATTTATTTGTTCAAAATTTTTATTATTTTTATGGCTATCAACTGTATATTTAATACATTCATCAATTGAGCCACAAATATTCATGATGACGTAGTCTGTATATATAGCAAAAGAGAGAGGGGGGAATCGTGTAAGCGTGAAGCCTAACGATGATCTAATTAAAAATACCGCCTTTCACTTACATATCTTCATCTGATTATACTATTCATATACACTTTTATCATTTTGACTATCTGAGATAGCCGTTGTTTGGCAGACTTGTATTGGTACTGGGTAGTGATTGAAGGTGAGATGAAAATTCGAACCGCGACGGGTTTGAAGTAGCGATATGATGCTCTCCATCTCTGATTCATTAGTGTCCATAAGTATGGCATGTGCTTTGCACCACCAAAGTGTCCATTGGCAGAAGCCCGTGCCTGCGCTCACCCTTGGTGACGAGGCGTTAGAAGTAGTCGAAAAGTTTGTGTATCTTGGTAGTTGTATGAGTGGTGAAATTTCCAGCCGCATATCGAAAGCTAGAGTGGCATACGTCAGTCTGGGCTACATTTGGCGCGTTGCTATGTTAGTCTGACCGTAGAAGGTCGGTTTACAACGCTTCTCTACGCCTATGAAACCTGGCCTCTTCGATCTGAGGATATGCGACGACTTTGTATGTTCGATCATCGTTGTCTTCTTAGGATTACTTGTATTGGTGGGAATACCATGTAAGTAATTGTGAGTACGACAGCGTATGTTTATGTATGATGGAGATCATCATTTGATAAGTGAATTCATCTAGAAAACACCGGCTTCGGTGGCTTGGACATGTTTTACTCATGTCATCTTAAAGGCTTCTACATCGTTCCTTGTTTCTTAGCCGTGGGCCTGGAACTGGATAGGAGAAGTGGAGCGGTGGTCAGTGTATGACGTAGCCCCTTGGGATTAAGGATAGTTGTACCGGATTAGCGTGTGTTGGTGCGCCACGGTTCTTTGAATAAGGTCCGAGAGATCACACAACTCAGTGACTTGAGACATTATCAGATATGGCCCAGAATCTAAACGGGTGGCGGTCATGCTGTAGCTTCCTTCTATCTTCTGCTGCTGAAAAGTAACGAATGTTTTGCTTTGAATGTATTGTACTAGACTGCCCTCCTAATCATGTTGTTCTTATCGTCTTTCGTACTTATCCACCTCCCATCGTTTATGTCTTCATATTGTTACCATACTATTTTGTGTGGTGCATTTGTTGGTGTCCTTGTTGTACCGTGTTTGTGTTCGATGAATAACTTCCTGGTTCTTTTATTTTTGGATTGGGATGAAGAAGTCCTGACTGGTCAACCAGTGTGTGTACGATCAAGCGGTAGTAATGCTTCACGAATTCACACGGTAGTCGGGCAAAAACCTTTGCTGATTGAAGGAAAATAAAAATCTAGTCAGTAGTCAGACCTCGTAACTCAGTTTATAGAGCACTAGGCGGGGAACTCGGTGGTTCCTGGGTCAAATCCGGCCGCGGTCTGAATTCTTATTTCACCTTCAGTCACCCAGTATCAGCATACTTTTTAACATTTTTGTAATATTTTTCTCTACTGCCCTATGGATGGTGTTATCCATGACTTTTACCTTGATAAACAATTTTTAGCGGGTTTTACCTACTATTCAACGGACCATATGAAACGATTTTGTCATTTTCAGCTGGCTTGGCACATTCTATACCCCCACAGTATGTGAATTGTGATGAATGAGAGTGGGAGTTGTAAACTAGTAAATGACCTTGCTCTACACTGTCTTGTTTTATTCTAAATAGTCCCATCTTTAATAAATGATTAGTATAAATTTTATGCTCTTACATTCAGGTTCATATAACACTAAACAACATCCCAACTTTAGTCAACAAGGTGTGAAAATGACAAATTGAATGCCAACTCACAGCTCCAACCAATGTGATATGGCAAGGTCAAACAAGGTGGGCGATAAGATTAAATTAAGGCATTGAACTTGAAAACATCGGTTACTCATAAGTAATATAGTCAATAATATTAAGAATGTAATACACATTTAAGCATAAACCTCCGGTCTGGGAACATCTAGACATAAAAGACCACTTATTACATAGAGCTGTTTAAAGCAACCAAAACTGAAGATCTAATCTTAACTGAACGGGAGAATAATGAAATACTTCTGAAAAGGGATCATCCTTTGCTGTATGAAGATAACGAATATTTATGTGTACTTACCAGTTAGTTGGAAATATCAACTCACTACATGTTTACTTCTACTGCTGTTACGCATTATAGTTATTGTACAAGGTGTATATTCTTCCTAATTCTTTTTGGTAAACACAGATATATAGCCCAATTCTTCCCTTCCTTACTTGGTTGGATTCCGTATTCAAAAGGCGACAGTTGTGATTCTACGGAAGCGTCTAACTGTTATGGTTCCTTCTGTGTTAACAATCGTACTCCACCTAACCTGAAGGATATGTTTGATACACATGATAAAAAGAATGGTAGACGCAACAACGAAACTGGGCAATCTTATCGAATGGTTCTTAACAGTCTTGAGGAATCTGTTATAAAGGTGTCTCCTCTACCAGAATCTTATCCCACTTCTGATAGTAGTGGTAATTATCAGCTTCCTCTTGAAAATTCTGTTCTACAACGGTCAACAGATAATATATCAGGAAGTTGTACTAATATTGTACAAGTAAGTAAAATATTACTATGCTATTGTTTTTGCTGGCACCCATAGTAAATTCTGTTACTTAGTTAGTATCTACGTAAAACGTGGCATTATTATTGCCTAAAGGTCCGATTTACCTTCCCCTATGTCAGTACGTCAAGATACAAAGCAGTACACTGGAAGATGAAGAAATTGGAAAACCCAAGACAATCAAAAGTTATAGAAAATCATAGGAAGAAAAGAAAGAAGAGAAAAAGACCGGTGTCACATAATAATGATTAGGATGAAGGTAATATGTAGACGCATCTGCACCACTGCAGCCGGTTTAGAGCTATATGACCTAGAATCGCCAAACATCGATTCCAGTTATCGCACAGAACCCAACCACGAAGTCTACATTTCCTTACCCTATTGCGATCATTAGTCAGCATCTTGATGTACTATCCACTTCTAACCTTTTTTCAGCCTAAACCTACTATGAATAACATTGCGCGACGGAATAGATGGTGACTAGGCACGCGTAACACTTTTCTCAACCATCTGAGTCGATGATGGTGTAAAACCTATTTTGTTTAAAGTTCTGCGTTACAAACGTAGTGGTCCAACAACGCACGGGTTATGCTAAAAAGGCGACATTGCGTGGATTAAACTTGTGAATAGCTCTGCAGATAAATTTTTTTTATTACCTAAAGTGCACTTATAATACATAGTATCCTAATGGCTATTTGCGAGATGATACTATTCACCGTGTAATTTAGTATAAAACAGGTTAGGCAGTCTTCTGAAAATGATATATTTAAGCTTGCTCATGTGGTTGTGCAAGATAGTGGTTACATCCATGGAAGCTTGAACTAAAAACCTTCAGACTCCTCTCTTGTTTGTCTCTCAATTCTTCGGAAAATAGAAAAGGCGGTAAGGCAACAGAAGATATGTTACAACGTCAAATGTATGTGAAAAATACAACACCAGAAGTGCCTATCGTTGCTGGGTGGTGATCTAGTGGATAACGCTTTGGCGGTTGAAGCGATAGGTCACGGGTCCGAATCCCGGTGGGAACAACATCACTCACTGGAAAGCAGACATATCCGGCTGATGAGTCTCAAATAGGACAAAATGTGCATCTTGGATTCCACTGCTAGCCACTATCCATGATTATGGTGTGTATTAATTCTATCTCTTCAATCAATCTGGCATCTACACATATGGTTATGCATTTATTCTGAAAACCTTGAAGTATGTTGACTTGACTGTGAAGGATCTTAACGAATTAGAGCTGCTTCTTTTAAGGATCTGGGCCATTCTACGAGCTACCATAACACTCACGAGTGTACTAAATAAGCATCATACAAACCAGTTTTCTGTAGATAAAATGATCAGCATCGGAATTGCTAATTCAACATCCAATGTTTAAGTAATTACTTCAATAAATACTTAAACGAAAAAAGCCAACCCAACTTTCTTATGAAGGTTACCCAATGACTATATGTAGAATGATATCGAGAATTCTGCGTATGAAACGTTCAACTAAAAGAAATTCCAAATTATGAAGATATCATTCATCATAAATTTCGATCTTAAGGATGATTAGTAACGATGTCATTTACATTGTTTATATAGTGGACATCTGTCAGATACGAATAAATAAACATCTTTTGTTTATATCCAACATTATCAATTTCTTATTTCGCTCCATTTTAAATCAAATCATTCTGAGTTCTACTGTAATCAAGATAAAATGTCTTTGCTTTATATGATGACAATTTGACTCAATCTCTACCACTTTATCGAATTCTGTTATATTCATGCACTCCTAGTTGATTTTTTTTTGTGGTTGACATGGCGCAGATGTAATCACTACTTGACATCTTCTACAGCCTTGCATATTTGCATCAATCTTCACACTGCTTATTCTTTCATACTACTTTATCTACGTGAAAATAATGGGGAAACTAATCATAAACCTATGCTTGAACTCTCATTGAAGGCTTTTGGAAACCTTAGTCAAACTGCATATAAAAGCAGAAGGAGAACTCTAGATACCACCACTGTCTTATATTACAATATTGTTTATAATCTCGATAGAAATTCCAAGTATGTCAGGTGTCTCTTTTTTAAATTATACTTAGGCATTTGACTCTATCGCAAGACCTCTTTTGCTGGACAGGTTAGACGGGACTCATACTGAGTCCTGGATAATCAGCTGATTGTATTCCTATTTCTCTGAAGGGAAACAGAAGGAAGAGCTCCTCATCACTGTTTTCTGTGACTTGTGTTCCCCAAGGAGCTACCCTTCCTCCAGTCTTTTCTCTTTCGTTCTATGTGACTTCAGCTAACATCAATCTTATCAAATATACTAACGACCTGACAGTTTCCATACCTATTTCCTCTTCAGCAGATTGTTCCCAATTGAGTGATTTCCTATCTACTATTAGACTATGGTCTCCGAGAATCGTCTTATGCTTAATTCCTAAAAATGTCTGACTATAAACTTTAGTTTCAGGTGTGAACATAACCTATGTAAACTGCTTAGTTCTCATGATTCTGTCCTATTGATGTTTGTGCATTACAGAATGTTACAAGTGTGATTTATCTCGGTGTGTTTTCTTCTCCGGACCTTTCTTTGTCCTTGCATATGTTAGTGATTTCCAAAAGAATTTTCCACCTAACTTTCTATATTAGGAATCTGAGAATATCTGCTGTAACAGCCTTTCCTCTTGTGTTTTATAAACTTCTACATCTTGCCTGTCCTCCTCTATTGTTCTTCTTCATTCTTTCCCGAGCTGTTGAAGAAAGACTATGCTATATTACGTAGGACTTTGAACATCGTCAGCAGAACCTTCTAGTTGAAACAGTTGTGGACAAACATATTAATTCATGTAAACATTTGGCAGGAGTTATTTTATCAGATGACCAGTATCCTCTTCACTCAAAGCTTTCTGTGTGTCGGTCATCAGGAAAGACCAGAAGCAAGTATATAAGACTTTATGCACCCACAACTAAATATACAAACTCTACAATACCGTATTTAGCTTGTCTTCTGTGCGATGAAGAAAGGTTAGAAATGAACTAACTAATCAACCTTTATCTTTAAAAGTAAACTAATTAAACATTAAACAGGTTGCTATTATTTATTTATTATGAACCAATTGCTAATGTGACTGTTTACCTAAGTTAACTCTGGATTTTCGAGAAATTTGTAGATGGAGTAAATATTCTTCTACATGTTATTTCTACTTACTTCATTTTATTATGTATACGCATAAACTGCTTCTGTCCAATTGATTCTATATGACATGGTGTGTAGAGTATTCCCGAAATACCTTTCACAATAGAGCCATTATTATTATTATCTTTATTATCATTATTATTATATTGATCTCACTCCTTTTTCTATCCGGCTGTTCTTTTGTACTGCTGCGAAGTGTGGCAACTTGAGCCGATGTGCCTATGTGCAAGGTTCTACGTTGATGTTGTCAGTGTCAGTCAGTGGTATTATGAGAAACTCTTGCTAACAATAAAATCTCAGTTAACTGTCATCATGATATCCGAGTATTTCAGTAGTCAGTACATCTTAGTTATGTTGTGCTGATGTTAAATAAGAATGTGATGCATTCTCTTTTTTGGCGGATAAGCCTGTTCTTTTCTCTTTTCTATATTAAAGCGTATAATGCGCAACTAATTACGTCAGTGCTGAGCGACATACACAATCAGTTTTAGGCTTTAGTCTCTCCTTAGTGACCATACAAATACCATCAATTCATTTGTCCTTTCAAGATAAACCGCTACCGCTTTTGTCTTCCGAGGTAGCTTTCAAATGGGGACTGATGTTGTATAATGTAATAAGAAGGACTTTATGCAAGAAATGTGATGTATTTACGCAATGCATTTCAGACAGACTCCATCTTCTTATTCCATAATACAAATTCATCAAAGGAAGCTAAGTTATCTGTTCTCGATTCGGTTAAATTGGTGCAAGCTTTTGTTAAGCTTTAAATACCAGGCAAACAAAACCAACGTAGAACCTCGAACATAAGTGCATCGGTTCAACTTGTCATATAACAGTATGCAGAGAACAAGTGAATAGAAAAAGACTGATATCATAATAGACAAAGGTGTATGAAAGGAATAGAAATGTAGAAATGAAGGTTAGTGAAAGTATTCAGGCTTTAGAAAACGTCAAAGAGTGAACTTATCTGCACCGTTGTGACTGATTTCCAATCATATCACCCATGGTCTGCAACCATTGATTCTTACCATGTCGAGGACCGAAACCAGACAATCTACATCCCCCTCTACGCGACTCAGACGAAAAGTCACTGCCTTCGTCCACTGGTATCTCGTCTTCGTCTGGTCACTCTAAACCCTCTTCCAACAATGAAGGATGTTCGTTAAGTTAACTGATCACTTGAAAGCTATTGTATGAAAGTTTTGGGTATATGTCTGATAAACTTGATATAAAAGAATTGGGATAACTGTATGACATTCTTGACTATTTCAGTCTAGCTAGCGGTTAGTACTTACTGTTATCCAGCTACTCATACCAGTCAGTAAGCGGTGTACTGTTCAAGATGTTTATGTTTGATACTTGTCAATCTTCTCATTCGAGAATAACTGCTTCACAACATCAGTTCAACACTGAATGGTTACCATTACCCATTTGCCGTTTGAAATTTGTCTTTAGAAAGTCTGTTTGGGCAATGTCAATTCCTAAAGTGGCTAAATGTATACACTTTATTCTCCTATATATAATTTGCATAACCATTCCAGTTTAACGATCGAGCGTTAAAAAGAAGAGTGAATCATTGTTTGCTTTTTTTTGTATATCTCAGTCCAATCATTCATCTGAGTTAGTTCCTTTTAATGCCAATGAACTGTCAATAATTCCTGTAACTCAACAGGAAGATGTAGCAAAAGTGAACTTAATCAATGCAACGAGCACAAAATTGTCATCATCTACAGAAATGTCTATTTCAAATGATTCTGTGAAATCATCACCATCATCTTTACCATCTTCATTACTATCACACATTGGCACACCTGGTGGACTTATCATGAATGCAGAACTGGCTAAATTTATTCAAGAGCAAGCTAGTCAGGTATAATTGCCTAATTTTGTTGCCTTTTACACTGATCTTTTATAAACGCTTAATTTTTTTTCATCTAATAAAATATTGAATGATGTTTTTTACTTAGGAGGTAATTGTGAAACCTTTGAGACATTTTCTATGGGGTTACACTTGTCGAGATTTACTACATTCTGATACCTTGACGTGGTGGTCGGGCTTGCATATCACAATGACCCAACGAGCTATGCTGGTGGAACGCTTGTTCCCTCGAGGTCCTACCATACCAGAAAGGTCTGTTGGGTAGTGGTTAGACGAAAAGCAGTTACCGTCATAGTGTAAATTGCTACACTATGATGGGGGTCTGAGGGCGAAGTCGTACTGCTGCTAGCTGGATGGGGTGTGACAGCAGTAAGGTGTTTCCCTTGGATGACCAGCAGTGCCAAGCTGATGCTGCCTTCTCAGTGGAAGGGGGGGTTAGAAAAGGTCGGCCCCAAAAATAACACACTCCACCACGCCCCACGGTCTGCCGGGCCGGCGGTGTTGGTTCACTTGTCGTTTCCTTTCGCTCATCCGGCCCCAAAAATACAAAAATTCAAAATAATCATACTCAAAAGGCTGGGTGTGACAGGCCTCAAGCAGATGTCCGATGGGCTCTGCGGTCACACAAATCTCTTTCAGGTACCTTAAGAAGAAATAGCCTTCCACGGTGTGGGCAGCCGGGAAGTGTCAACCGCCCTCACAACTCTGTCAGCACCCAAGTTTCTTCTGACTGCTATCCTCCTCCTCCATCATTACCTTCTAATCTTCCTTCACGTCTCTTAATTAATGATGCTGCATCATCTTCAATTTCTCCTACCTCTGCAGCCTTCGACAACGATCTGAGTCCACAGAACAGCGTCCCTGGTCTCCTTAAACCACGCTCCAAATTACATATTGGAGCCTTCAATGTCCGCACCCTCCGTCAAATTGGCCAACAGGCTTCGTTGGCAAAGACTCTAGCAACTCGAGGCATGGATGTGTGCTGTGTTTGTGAGACACGCATACAGGACCCAAGTGTGGTTATTCACCTGACCTCTCCTGACCAATCTGGTGAATCTGCAAAATTCACCCTTCGAGTTTCTGGAGATTCGATAGCTAGCTCTCGTGGTCTTGCAGGTGTAGGTATAGCATTAAGCACCAGGGCAGAAAACTCACTACTAGACTGGATCCCAGTTGATAGTCGCCTCTGCGCTATGAGGCTGAACGGCACAGTGAGAACTAAAAGGAATAGTGAGACTCGCCGTTGTCTCTTTGTAATCTCTGCTTACGCACCCACTGACTGTAGTTCGGATGAAGTGAAGGACGAGTTCTACCATAAACTGTCTAACCTCCTCTCGAAAGCCAAACGTTCGGACGTAGTGGTTGTTGCAGGTGACCTCAACGCACAGGTGGGTAGACTGAGTGAGGCAGAAAGGCACTTAGGTGGCACTTTCGGAATCCCAGCTGAACGTACAGATAACGGTGATCGCCTATTACAACTATGCTCAGATAACCGCCTATTTTTAGCCAGCACAAATTTCAGACATAAAGAAAGGCACTGTCTGACCTGGCGTCCACCGAGCTCGACTCAGCGATGGACACAGATAGACCACATTGCTATTAGTCATCGCTGGAGAGGATCGGTGGAAGACTGCCGCTCCTTCTGGAGTACGTGTTTGGACAGCGATCATGCGTTGGTCCGAGCACGTATATGCCTGCGTCTCAATGGACGTAGAAAAAATTTGGCAACAAAACCACTACGAGTTCTGCTGGACAACGAAAACACCAAAGCCGTGTTCAGTGAGAAGTTGGCTAGGCAGTTATCGGAACAAAAGACTGTCACTCATCCAGAAGAAGCTTGGTGCCATCTTCAGTCTACTGTAAAAGCAGCACTGGAGACTGTAGCCGACTCCAAGATAATGGCTAAAAAGAGCCAGTGGATATCAGCAGCTTCTTCCAAACTAATGGATGCACGTGAATGCATCCCTGCAGGCTCTGAGTACAATGAAGAGCGAGCGCAACTTAAAAATAAACTGACGAAAAGTCTGCGCAACGATCGTGAACAGTGGTGGGCAGCAAAGGCTAAAGAGATGGAAAAGGCAGCGGCGATCGGTAACAGTAGACAGTTATTTAGACTTATTAAGGAGACTGGGGGGAAATGGTCAACAACAGTTAGTGAGGTTATAGCGGAGAAGGACGGATCGGCGATTCACTCGCAGGGAAGGCGACTGGGACGATGGGCAGAACACTTTGAGGAACAGTTTAACTGGCCTCCAGCCACCATTGCGCTGCCCGCTATCCAGTCGGACCCTGAATGGGACATAGAGACAGGTCCCCCAACACTAGAAGAAGTTGAGAAAGCGGTAGGTAGCCTGAAACGGGGAAGGGCAGCAGGACCAGACGGACTACCTGCTGAGGTATACAAGAATGGTGGTAGAGTTCTCTTAGTCAGGCTAACGGAAGTGTTAGCCAGTATATGGGAATCAAATACGATCCCCTCCGACTGGTCTAAGTCACTGATCATCCCAGTCTTCAAGAAAGGCGAGAAGTCCTCTTGTGATAACCACAGAGGAATCAGCCTGACAAACATAGTGTCTAAGATCCTAAGTTCTATAATTCTCCGACGCCTGAGTGGAGCTCGGGAACAGCAAGCCCGAGAAAACCAGGCAGGCTTTAGACCTGGCCGTGGATGTATCGACCAAATATTCACACTGCGCCAGGTCCTGGAACATAGGCATGCTTACAGACGCCCGACAATAGCTGTATTTCTCGACCTGAAGGCGGCATTTGACTCCGTTGATCGAGAAGTCTTATGGCAGTGTCTGTCACTGAAAGGCGTGCCTAGTAAGTACATCACCTTATTGAAAGCTCTCTACTCGAACACTTGTGGGCATGTTAGAGCCTATGGTGAGTTGTCCAGGGAGCTATACTCATCAAGTGGTGTCCGTCAAGGATGCCCACTATCCCCATTCTTATTTAATTTTATCATAGATATTCTTATGGAGGTTTCCCTCTCGTCACCTAATTACAAAGACGTTGACCGGATCACAGGTGAATTTTCCTTAGATCTAGAATATGCAGATGACATAGTCCTGTTAGGTGAAGACGCTGACAAGATGCAGAGTCTTCTGAACACTTTGAGTGGGAATTTGAGAATGTTTGGGATGCGATTTTCACCACCCAAATGCAAATTTTTGCTCCAGGACTGGTCTTCAGCGGTACCGCGGTTAACAATAGAGAGTGAAGTGGTTGAGTGTGTTGACCACTTCACTTACCTGGGAAGTAGGATCAACCCGGTGGGTTAGTTGCCGATGAGATTTCTGCACGGATACAAAAGGCTCGATTGGCTTTTGCCAATTTGCGCCACCTATGGCGCCGCCGTGATATTCGTTTGTCTATTAAGGGTCGCGTGTACTGCACAGCAGTCCGCTCTGTTCTACTGTATGGCTGTGAAACATGGCCATTGAAAGTGGAAGACATGAGAAGGTTACAGGTATTTGACCACCGTTGCCTTCGTAGTATAGGACGTATTCCGTGGTGTCACCATGTGAGTAATGCAGAAGTTAGGTGTAGAGTTTTAGGGAGAAGAGGTAAGTCAGTCGACGAGGTTGTGAACCTTCATCGACTGAGATGGTTGGGACACGTACTACGTATGCCTAGTCACCGATTGCCTCGTCACACAATGTTGGCTGAGGTGGGTTCAGGCTGGAAAAAGGCCCGAGGTGGCCAGACTAAAACATGGCACCAATGTATGAAGTCTCTGACTGTTGGTTTAAGCCATGTAGGACGATGCAGACTAGGTGGTTGGGGTCCACGGGACAAGAGGAACCAGTGGTTGGAGACCCTAGGTGATATGGCTCAGAACCGAAGTCAGTGGCGCAGATGTATACACACATTATCCTCATCTTAACAACGCTATACCGAATCTCACTATTTTGTCACTCCTCTTTCCTTTCTTCTCGTACTTTATATTTCTTTTGACTGCATTCACTTATCTTCATCCTTCACCTCACTACCTTTTTACTTGATGTGCTGATATGAGGTGTGGCAACTCGGACCGTTACGCAGTAATGCCTGGTCCTATGTTGATAATGATGATGATGATGTCATGTGTATGAGATAGACGACACCCGTAACGAAGATGGTAAACTTGCCTACATTATTCATCATCACTAGCTTATTTCTATAGATCTTTTAACGGAGATGTGATTCATTCACTGAGGAATTCAACTTTCAAGTAATGTGTTCCAAGTTCGAATCCGCCTGCATCTACTTGAACCTGAACAACCAGGTATTATCATAAGTTGTCACACAGTAATTGTGGCTCATAGCCTAGTACATAAACTTCAACCAGTTTGACTTGCTTATTAGTTCATTTTAATTGTGGTTGAATTGTACAAGAAATAATCTGGCATTAGGAAGACATGAAGGTTGATATAGTAGAGGAATAGGAGAAATCAAAAGCAAACTAGTCAACAGAATATCAAAGAATCAATGTCAAAAATTTATTTGATAAAGTGTTAATTGCTTTTGTTTTATTATTGAATAAAAACAAAAAAGTAATGACTATTAGTTTCGTCTTTGACCTCTCTATCTGATAACATTTCAACCCACATGAAGTCTCATGCTCAGTCCGTATCCTATCATGGGGATGGGGGGTTATGATACATCTTTAAACACAAACTCAATACGACTATCCTTCTTCCTACAGCGCTAGCTCATACACTGACCACCTCCCTTTTCTCCAATTCGAAGAAACAATAACAGCAATCACTTTATTCCAGATAATAACTTTTACTACAGTTCAAAACTCTCAGTGGGCTATTTCAACAACCATGGCAGTGAAATAATATTAATGATAGCAGTTATGATAGGCAGCAATGCATAATAATCAGTAGTTTTTAGGTCATCATCAAGTTTGTATGTTGTTGTACATAGGTCGGATAGAAAAATACAAGTTACGTGATGGAGATTCATTCATCCAGTATGAAAATTTCCTGCCCTAGCCTAGCTATATGTTCCTATAATAACTGTTGGGCGTTCACGGGTCAACTACTGTCTACTATGATATTTTCTCTTAGTCTTGTTGTTAACCCGTCTAACAATAGACTGAAAACATTTTAAGAGTGCGTTGAGAGTATGTCTTACAATTAGTTGACCTTCGAATAGCTAAAACATAAAAAATGGAGTAATTTTCTAAAAAGATATTCGATGAAATACTTTTGATAGTCGCCAATATTCTGCATTTTAAAGAAATGATTTAAATTTTCAAAATAAATAAATATTTTGAAGACGTTTTCTACAGGTACGAAATCTTTGTTTATATCTTAGGAGGACTGCTTTCAAAAAGCCAGTAATTTGTATATAAAGAGTTTCAAATGAGAAAGGTTAATCAGCCACTGTTGTTGTAACCGTACACTGACTAGGTTAACTGAACTATATATTAAGCACAGCGAACCATTATCTACTCTCATCCTTAGTGGCTTAGAATTAAAGATGGGCAAAAGATGAGAGTGGTCAAACCAAGATACAAAATCATACTTAACGGAATTGCACTAGTTCATGTTACCAAACTTTGCATAGAAGAAGCAAGTAAAAATAATATTATATCAATGTAAGCAAAACGTTGATTATTTTGAAAATAAAAGAGTCAATACATCTGGATCATTGTGATTAATTTTGAGCCAAATCAATGAGAGTCTCCTCCCATAGACTCAAAACAAACATTACAAGAACTTAAACTGAACATCCTACAGTACTTAGACCAATCGTCAGAGAATTCATGAGTCAGTATTGTATCCTTGGTTTAATCATTTTCAACTTTATTTCAACCTAACCGTTAATTAGCTGACATCATGCATTAGAGTAAATAATGATGACTACGTATATGGAGCACATGTACCAATCGCCTCAGTCGATGTAGGTTCTTAGGTTACAGGACTTGAATTTCATCACTGTAAGGGTGGTAGATGTATTCACTCATAGGGTCTTTGTTTATTTATTCTTTTCCTTTACTCAGTTTATCTGCTGTTTACCTAGATACATTTCTAGTTTTGTTACAACTAGCAGTACACTTTTGCGGAAATTTCTATATTTTTCTGTTTACCTGTCTGAATAAGGTCTTACGGTATTCATAATTCTACTCATTTGTGAGGATAGTTTCGAACTGATTACATTTAGGTTTTACGATGTGATTACACAACCACTTTTTTAAATTTATTTTCAGGTTGCAGCTAGACAACAGAGATTCAACATGTCTACTACTACAACTACCACCACTACCACTACTATGGTCAATAGTAATAGTCAACAACTTACTTCCACTGGTGGTGGAGATGGCACTACAGGAAATCTAGTTTCCGAAGCTTCTATAAAAAGTTTATCCACAGGCAAAACATCTTTGACCACCACTTTAACAAGATTAAGCTTAAGTGGAGCGTTTAAACGAGATCTGCCACCGAGGTACGCTAAACTATTACAAACCGAATTATACGAAAAAGAAGCACTGGAAAATCGACGTAATCAGAAACAAAAAGAGGTATAATTTTTTGCATACAATCACCTTCCTTATGATAATTGGTTCATTTTGTTGCTTTTACATAGTACAGTCTTTTTTTTAAACAGAGTTGTGACTCATCTAGTCTCTCGGGTTTAAACCCCACTCCACAGAGATGCACCCTCAGACCTGTAACAGGACACTTGACTTCTTTTGTTAAGTTCTACAAAATTCTGTACAAAGTTCGACCAAACCACTCGAAAGGAGTGAGGCTAAGACATCTAGGCATAGATGGAAGTATTAGCGAATCAAAAATTTAAATTACTATCACTATTATACGTTCAAAATAAGTATGTACAACCTCGTTCTTCGTCATGGCCATCGTAGACTATGGATCATTGTAAGAAACCCACATATGACGTAACTAATTTTATTTTGTAATCATTTTGTTAATTCCCCCATTGCGTAACATACCTTTGCGATGCAAGTTATATTCACTATGGATCATGAATTACTCGGAAATGTTCTATCGTCTTGCCAACATATTCATGAATGTACAGCTTCGAGAATGATTTCGTCGAAGGGAAAAAGAATTTATTCGTTGCAATCGTATGTTTTTTCTAGATTGTTGATGTTAGTTAGCCTTATCTATCTCAATTTGGCTACTTCCACATACCCCTCTAATCAGTCTAACCCCGACTAGTTAGTTTGACTTTATATTTGACATCACAGTTGTTGCGTAGTATTTGGTAGATCAATTTATTTTATTTAATTGGGTCATTAGGATCCTAGAGCTGACAAAGTTTATCTGTTTGAGTGCCACCCGTGTAATAGTAGCCTTGTTGGGAATTTCACATCAAGCCCTCATCTTCCTTCTGTATACTATTATCATTATTATTATTATTTGTCCATGGGTTCCTAGTGCAAAATAAGACTTCAGTAGTACGTCGCCATTTCACTCTCTTCTCTGCAGTCTTTTCAACCCGCCTCCATTACTGTCCAGAGGCCTTCATTTCTTCCTCACACCATCTCCTCCATGTCACCCTCAGCTAGGATGCCCAACTCGTCGTCCCCCATGCGCATTCCACTCGAGGGCTTGACCTGATGTGTGATGTCCCCGAATGGTCTTCTCAGTGTTATGCCCAACCTAATCCATCTCCAGTTTCTTCTACATGTTTGTTGGACGATGGGTTGTTGGTTGGTTCCTCGCCAGATCTCCATCTTCAGTGTCGAGTGAGCGTAGGTGGCAGCCGTTGATGTATGTCTGTAGTGGAAATGCTTTTTGTATCGCGCCAAGTCTCTCAACCATCACATAGAAGCACTCACTGACTGACTTGACTGAATTAGTGTTGAGAATCCGGACCTTGTTGACGCTTTATGCTGAGCGGAGTGGAGTGGAGTAGATCACCACACTGATTTCAGATTGATGAAGGTCTGTCTTGCTGTCTTTACGATCCTGACTTTGACATGCTCATCTGTACCGTCGTCGTCGCCTGTAGTTGAAACGACACTGCCTAGGTGGTAGGTGAAGGAGACAACTTCCTTTAAATTTGTCTCTTTGATGGTGGTTGATGTTCGTTGTTGTTGTTGTTGTTGTTGTTGTTGTTGTTGTTGTTGTTGTCGGTTGGGTATCTTCATCACCTGTGTCTTGTCTACGTCTACGTGAAGTGAAGTGAAGTCCCGTCTTCGCTGCCCTGCCTCTTGTGCTAACTTGTTAGTTTTCGTCTGTAGATCTTCGAGTTTGTGCTAGAAGACGTTAGACATAAATCATCACCGGTGAGGTCCAAATCTTCTTCTGGTGTCTTTGCATTGGTGAGAAAGGGCGTATGCCCATCTTGTCGCTCCTCACAGTTGTCTGTTGCATGATCCAGTCGAATCGAGTCCAGTCTACCAGAATCAGGAATATGACTGGTGATAGTAGTTGGCAGGCTTGCCTTACTCCTGTCCCTGTCTTCATTTCGAAGGCATCACTGAGCTTTCCCTTGTGAATCACTTGTCATGTAGCATCATACGACATGTAGCTGCTGTTGAATGAGGTTGATAAAGGTTTGTGGCACTTCGTGCTTGTGTATATAGTAAAACAATAAAAACTTTGAACTGAACTGCTTTCTACTTGTATTACCGTCAATATTCACATTACTGTGACCACTTCGTTTCGTATGAATTTTCTAATAAACTCTAGTGGATGATTATTGGACACTAGATTTCAGTGTATAGGTTTTAATTTCTTATTTAGATTATTTGATCCACCATTGATCTTTCACTAGACCCGCTGTCACTGATATTGAGTACGATGGCGTGAAGTCTGGATACCGTTTAGAGTGTATTGGTTTTATGTAGACATTAGTGTCTCAGCCACCATCTGTCATTCGTTTTACTTACAATCCAAAATGGGTTATTCTTTTTGTTGATTTTCCAACTCACTAGTGAATTGGATCTTATCTACTATTCAGTGTGTGTGTGAAGAAATTATCGATATGTTTCGACTCCAGCAGAGTATTCATGTCATCCAAATGTCTCCACTATATCTTAGGAGATGGATTAAACTTTTTTAAACCTCTTTTTCAAAGTGCTGTGCAATACATGTAATAAAAAATGATACAGCACCTATTCCGGAGATGTACAAAATTATACTACCACTGAAAACAAACATCATGAGTTGATATAACTATAAGAATCAAATTTTGATTGCTTTGATATGTTTATGAGCAATATTTTGTGCTCAAAAGGTTATCCAGTAATATGGAATTACATTGTACAATAGTGCTCAAGTTTTACTGATATATTAGTGTTGTTTTCATTTCTTGTTGCACTCGGATTTAAGGAATTTTATTTATTCATAAACTGACTCACCTATCTCCTTCAACAGTGATGTCAACCAAATATTCGTTTATATTTTATTTGTGTTTATTGTGGTGAGGTATGAGTATACTGAGTGATGGTGGTTTACCCATGGTTGTTGATTCCTTCCATTTTTAGAAATCTAACTTTGCTACCGATATGCTTTTGTTCTATCAATTCAGCTGGCTATTGTGAACTTATTCCTTTTGGCCTTTTGAATAGACTCTAAGCATATACAGACCATACAATTTTGTTAAGTAGAAATGCTGAAAAACTAAAGTTTTCCGAATTCAAACGAGTGAGAGTGTTTGAGATGCTTTTTTCCACACATACACCAAATGCATAAATCACTGCTTCGAGAGTAGTCTATACCTATTCTCCTTTTGACATGAAACAAAAACACCATTTTGAATGTAACATCAGTCAATCGTGTGTTTGTAAACCTTTTTTCATCTGTATGTAAAGTCACTGTCATTGAATTACACCAATATCTTCGGCTACGCCACCTCATTCTGTTGTAATTATACGTTGTGACGTTGACGGAGAATACACACTTCTCAAAGTAGTAAAAATTGTCACCAATAATGTCATGTTTTTAGTGAGATGCATTTATATAAATTTCCATTTCAATCAATCCCCAAACATAGTACTTTCCTAGTACCTCGCTTTAAAATCGATTTCTTGAAGTTCTAATAAGAAATTGTGACCTGTTGTTGTGTCAATCAAGTTGGGCGTGAAAACGGTAGGTGATGATCATGCTGTTTTGTGAACTGATGAAAGTAGTAGAAAGTGGATTACCCCAGTGGTGTGACAGTTTTGGTGTCAATCTATTGTGCTATTATAGGTGTACACTATTATTAAGTCCCAAAGTAGAACGAAACACCTGTCCATTGCTCCCGGACTTTCAATTGTTCCTCAATTAATATCGCTTCGTGATGAATGCTAACTAATTTAGTGCGTCATTTCTGTCTTAAGAATTTACGATGTTTAACGGCATCGTTTCATACTTATGTATGTATATTAACCTTTAATATGAGTGAAACTTGGGCACTGTGATAGAGTATAATTCCATATTAGATGGTTTATTCGATGTGGCACACAGTAAGTGATAAAGTATTTTATACTGGGTGATGATTGAAGGTGAGATGAAAATTTGGACCACTACCGGATTCAAACCAGCGACCACCGGGTTACTAGCTTGATGCCCTACCAACTGAGCTACAAGGTTCGACTGCTAACCAGATTTTTATTTCACTTCAATTATCGCCCAGTATAAAATACTAGTCTGTCAAACTACGGCTATCTCAGATAGTCGAATGATGATAAAGTATAACTTACTGGATGACGTTTCGAGCACAGTGTTTGCAAAGCAATAGCCGAGTTTTTCTCTAAATTGCTTATCTTAGTAGGGTGTACCATTGTGTGCTCTGCTATTCTAACTGACCGAGATTGGGTGCTTTGACTTATATACTCTACTTCACAATCATTACATGGTATTTGATAGACTAAGTTATTTTTCCTAATTGGCTCCACTGGACCTTTCAGCCTACGAAGTTTCTCTCTGTCCGAGTTTGTGGGTTTGAATCCCAGTGTTGCCGTATGAGGAAGGGCACATCGTAAATTTTACACAGAGCTCGTAACAATGCCTGGAGTAATACGCATTATTTATATTGATGAAGTTTAACACTCTAGGCTCAGAATCTCCTAGTGACTGCTTTTGATCATCACAAATAAATTAAGCTCAGTGTGTTCTGATGTTGGCCTGTTCATCTTAGTGGTGACTTTGTCTTCCTTACTGTATGCAGTTATCTTCATATCTGCTAGATAATGTGTCAGGATCAACTTTGTCTAACTTTATCTCAGTTGAATAGGATAATATCAGCAGTATTGTAGGCTGAAACCTCATAGTGTTGATGAGAAAGATTATTTATTGCTTGCTGAATAACCGATTGCTGTAAAATGTTCAATTGCAGAGTTTAGCCACTGAATTGATAATTTAATCGCGTTTTTTTCTTGGTCATTTCATAAAATGTGTGTACTGACACACAACTTTCTTTTCATGTCTTTCTAGTTGAACTCATCACTACTGCTAATTGATCAACCTGCTCCATTGGCACGTAAAGAGTCTGAGGCACCTACAGATTTAATCTCGTTATTATCATCATCCGATGTAAAAGCGCCTATACATCATGAACAGAATGTAGAATCTCTTGAATTGAATCTCTCCTCGAAGCAAATGTTTCACCTACCAAACAGTATAGATTCGAGTATGCACAATCCTTCGGTAAGATCCATCTTCGCATTCAACTTAACACCTTATGTTGACTATATGGTAACTTGTGCAGTAGCATACGGTATTTCATTTCAATTACCCATAGTTCTAAGCACTACATGTCTTTTTTGACTATCTGAGATAGCCGTGGTTTGGCAGACTTGTATTGATATTGGGTAATGATTGAAAGTGAAATGGAAATTTGAACTGTGACAGGATTCAAAGCAGCGATATGATGCTCTCCCTCTCTGATTCAATTAGATTTGGTTTGGGATAAGAAGTTCTGATCAGGCAGCCAGTGTGATTACGATCAAGCGATAGTAACGCGTCACTAATTCACATGGTAGTCAGGCAAAACTTTTGGTGATTGAAGTGAAGTGAAAATCTCGTAGTTCAGTTGGTAGAGCATCGAGCCGGTAACCGCTATGGTCGCTAGTTAGAATCCGGCCGTGGTTCAAATTGTCATTTCACCTTCAATCATCATCCAGTATCATAATATATCTGTTGAAAATTCTTTACACAATTTAATCAGATTGTCAAGTGAGTATTGATTAGATTAGATTACGATTATATATATCTAGAGGGTAAAAAGACAACTTTGTTGAGGATAGTTCATCGATCTAGTAATTTACAGGTTGAGTAAGTACGTAATATCTTAGAGAGAGAGAGAGAGAGTTTAAATGAGAGTTGGAACAACGATTATCTAGCATTACCAAACACTAACATCTTAGATTTTGTAAACTTGGTAGAAAAGGAATGGTAGATCCATACAAGCTAGGGCAATACAATGCAGTCAACTCAGATAGTGGAAGTAGACTTTAAATGGATAGTAAGAGGAAATGGAACAAAATGGGTAGGTATGATGCCACCTAGTATTTTCTGAGGTTATAAAAATGAAAATCGGCATTTGGTGTCAATAGCTTTATCATACTTACAGTAAATCAGAAGTCACAATATTCAACTTGATTTGAGTTATTCAATATGAATAATTAATTTTATGTTGTCAAATTATAGAGAAAGATGACGATAATACTGTTATTATTCGTCCCTTGGGTTCCTAGTGGAAAATAAGACTTCAGTAGCACGTCGCCATTTCACTCTCTTCTCTGCAGTCTTTTCAACCCGCCTCCATGACTGTCCAGAGGCCTTCATTTCTTCCTCACACCATCTCCTCCATGTCACCCTCAGCTAGGATGCCCAACTCGTCGTCCCCATGCGCATTCCACTCGAGGGCTTGACCTGATGTGTGATGTCCCCGAATGGTCTTCTCAGTGTTATGCCCAACCTAATCCATCTCCAGTTTCTTCTACATGTTTGTTGGACGATGGGTTGTTGGTTGGTTCCTCGCCAGATCTCCATCTTCAGTGTCGAGTGAGCGTAGGTGGCAGCCGTGATGTATGTCTGTAGTGGAAATGCTTTTTGTATCGCGCCAAGTCTCTCAACCATCACATAGAAGCACTCACTGACTGACTTGACTGAATTAGTGTTGAGAATCCGGACCTTGTTGACGCTTTATGCTGAGCGGAGTGGAGTGGAGTAGATCACCACACTGATTTCAGATTGATGAAGGTCTGTCTTGCTGTCTTTACGATCCTGACTTTGACATGCTCATCTGTACCGTCGTCGTCGCCTGTAGTGAAACGACACTGCCTAGGTGGTAGGTGAAGGAGACAACTTCCTTTAAATTTGTCTCTTTGATGGTGGTTGATGTTCGTTGTTGTTGTTGTTGTTGTTGTTGTTGTTGTTGTTGTTGTCGGTTGGGTATCTTCATCACCTGTGTCTTGTCTACGTCTACGTGAAGTGAAGTGAAGTCCCGTCTTCGCTGCCCTGCCTCTTGTGCTAACTTGTTAGTTTTCGTCTGTAGATCTTCGAGTTTGTGCTAGAAGACGTTAGACATAAATCATCACCGGTGAGGTCCAAATCTTCTTCTGGTGTCTTTGCATTGGTGAGAAAGGGCGTATGCCCATCTTGTCGCTCCTCACAGTTGTCTGTTGCATGATCCAGTCGAATCGAGTCCAGTCTACCAGAATCAGGAATATGACTGGTGATAGTAGTTGGCAGGCTTGCCTTACTCCTGTCCCTGTCTTCATTTCGAAGGCATCACTGAGCTTTCCCTTGTGAATCATTTGTCATGTAGCATCATACGGCATGTAGCTGCTGTTGAATGAGGTTGATAAAGGTTTTTCGGCACTAAAACCTTAGTGTTGAAGCTGTTGACTGCCAAATTGCTTCTCGGTCGACGCTATCGAAGACCTTTTAATGGTCGATTAAGTTGAGGTAAAGATCCAGTTAACTGCCATTCTGTGCTCTGTCCTATGATGATGCGTAGTGTTGCAGTTTGATCCACACATGATTTGTTTTTCCTGAAACCAGCCTGCCAGCAAACTGTTTCGGTCATAATTTTAAACCAAGCTCAATTTTTTTATTCTCTCCAGGAGGATGCGGCCTAATATTTTGCTTGGGGTGGACAGAAACTTGATTCCGCTCCAGATGGCGATCATATTTTATTTTTCGCTTGGGTTTTTAGTGGGACATAGGGCTTCAGCAGCACACCCCATCGCACTTTCTTCTCTGCAGTCTTTTGGACCTATGATGGTTATAAGTAGTAGTCTGTTGAGTGTGTGAATTTCAGAGTAAAGTTTGCGTGTACACATTTGCTCACCAATTGCCCAGCTCAGAATCATGCTGAAGAACTCAAATCAAGTTGTCATATATAAACTTGGATTATTGTAACTTGTGGTTTATTATAACTCTCTGATAAAGCTATTAGCGTTAAATGATGAATATAATATACGCGGTACCCATATTTATTTCCTTTTAATACGTAATAATAATAATATATTTGCTTTATTCCGAACCATAATTATGTTTACGGCACAGAATTCTCAGCATGTGATATTGCATCTTTTTACCCGTTGTACAGCAGGAAATCTTCAGCCAGCAAATATCCCGACAAAGTCAATATAGAACCTGGCATTACTGCGTAACAGTTCAGGTTACCATATCAAACGACAATGTATAAATTACTATTTATTGACATACTTGTTATTCTCCGTTGTTTGTTTTTTTGTTGGATCGATTGTTCAACCTCTATTGGCATATGGGTTCCTATGCGGATGCCTCGATATTGCCTGAATGTTGATTGTGATAATTTGATTGGTCGTGGCTAGCGGAAGAATCCGGTACGTGCGTTTCATCCTGTTTGGGTTCTTCTGCTAGCCACAATCAACCCAATTATCATGATTTAACATTCAGGCAATATCGAGGTATCCTCATAGGAGCCTGTATGCTAATAGATGTCGAACAATTTGATCCAACAAAACAACGGAGAATAACAAGTATGTTGTACAAGAAGTGGCTATCGTTCCTCTGTGGCATAGTGGATAACGCCTTGGCGTTCGAGTCCCAGGGGGAACAGCTTCACTGAGGTGCAGGTACATCCAGCTGATGAGTCCCGAATAGGACGAAATGTGTGTCCTGGATTCTTCTGCTAGCCGCAACCAACCGAATTACGACAATGCATAAAGTTGAAAGACAAATAAATACGGAAGAAACTAGTCACAAGCGGTAGAAAGTTAGACAAAAAGAGAAATGAGGCTTTTGACACCCAGTACGACAATTAAGATGCAGATAATATGTCTGCCCCATTGAGATAGATTCTCAGTTATGCTACCTAGTCTCTAACCACTGCTTTCTGTTATCGCATGGACCCCAAATGAGAAGTCTACGTTTCCCATATGACCCAGACCAACACTCAAGGACTTTATGAACTGGTCTGGTCAACTCCTATTATTTGTCCATTCTGAACCTACCTCAGCCAACATTGTGCGTCACGGCAGATGGTAACCAGGCCTGTGTAACACATGTCCAAACCACCTCAGTCGATAAATTTTCACATCCTCATCAACTGACTTTCTGCTTTAAGGTAAAACTCTACACCTGACTTCTACTTTACTCACATAGTAGTTCTGCTGCACTTGGTCTGTGCGACGAAGGCAACGCTGGTCAAACGACTGAAGCCTTTTTACGTCTACTACCTTCAATAGCCATACTTCACTGACATATAGTAGCAGGGGGTGAAATACAGTGCCGTTAGTGGGCAATCGAATATCACGTTGGCAGCAGAAATGGCGTAAGTTGGCGACGGTTAACCCAACTTTTCGCACTGGTGGATAGACTTTATCGGTCACTGACACACCAGGGTTGATCTGACTTTCGAAATAAGTGAAGTGGCCAACGCAGTGAACCTCTTCACTCCCTATTTTTAGACAAAAGCCACTGGATACATCCTGAAGTAAGGAATTGGGTGGCGCGAAACGTACCCTAAGTATTCTTAAATTACCGCTTAAGGTATCTAGAAGACTGTGCATGTTCAACTAATAGGTATGCTAAGGATTCTTCTGTGACGAGATCAATCCCTTTAAAAGTTCGGGTGTACAACGCGTCGGCATGAGTGGCTGTGTTCTATACCTGGGCAACACCACTTCTTCGAGATCACCGTTTTCAATGGAAACATCATTTAATTATTTGATATAAGATTATGCACGTTTTCTTGTGATGGAGACCATAAGATCATCTTAAAAACCACTTTAATATATAATAATAACAATATATTTGCTTTATTCCGAACCATCATTATGTTTGTAGTACACAATTCTCAGCAAGTGATATTGCACTAGTTTAGCCGTTGAACAGCATTTTTCAAATACATATTAAAAATGGTGCTGTTTAACGATTTATGATAAAGAATAACAGGATTGTTGCACCGTCTAGTGACTTCATAGGACATGATAATTGTTCGCTATTGCAAATTTGACTGATAAAACTATGTCTAACATTATTTTCTTTACACAATACACAAGCCAAATAAAGTTATATGATTGGATTTTTGTATTTAGTTGTGAGGGTATACACTTTAATATATCTGCTTATTGTCTTACCTGAGGACAGACATGGAGAGAGATGCTGATGCAGAGGATGCTTATCATCAGATAAAATAGTTTTAGCTAGCTGTCTCCAAGAGTTCAGATGCCTATCTACGACTGCATTCTTCAGCACGGTTAGTGGTGTACCACTTGCTCTGCTAACAGCCTTCAAAATCCTACGCAACACACTGTAGTCTTTTTTCCGGGGAAATAATAACGCGGAACAATAAGTAATGTATATGCAAAACATAGGAATTAATGAAAGGTATGATTAGAGACTGAGTTATGCCAAACAATTTGAGTTTCCTTATATTAGAAGGTCAAGCGAAAGATTTCCCTTGAATTTAATAATATATGACGTGACCAAGAAGAATTAGAAGAGAAGCATAAGCTCTATACAACAGAGCCATCTATAAGACAAGAATCATGGGACTAAAGTAATTTTAAAATGTCTTTTTCACATCTAAAGCTAAAATTAACCATCTGACATTTGAAGGGATTGTGTGTGAAGCCATTTAAGGATGACCAGTTTCGGTTAAGAAGTTTTATTAAACTGAGAACAATTCTGAAGAGGAAATGCTTGGCATAGATACTGTTAGGTCATCTGCGCACTTAACAAAGTTAACTTTAATTGAGGTTGGCTGCTTTAATCAATCGTCACTGATCAATCACATGAAGGTATATACAAAAATATGTTCTGCAATACACATTGATTATGTTTATTTCAGGTTGTAAGCAAGTGAAGAGATTTCTGGGAATCAATTGTTTTTCTTCCTTCAGTTGGTGATTACAACTAATTTCAAGGTAGTATTCATCATGGACTGACAACAGTTGGGGAACTATTGAAAACCTGGGAGCATTAAATAGCTGTTTCGTCCTACTATGGGACTCCTCAACGGTATACACCCACGACCTGACTAGGGATTAAATCCATGACCTTCAGGTTTCTCGGTGAATGCGTTAACTATCCAGCCACTGCGTTGGAGTTCAGTGTTTCACTTTCCAACTTCTGTCAAGTCTTGATATAGCGCGACTATCACCCAAGGTCTTTAAATGCCATCCGCTTCCCTTCTGACTGGTTGACCGCGCAGGTCACAACTTCTCATTAGAGCTTCGAGATATCCATCTGGAAGTATGTCACTATGAACACTATACAGTAATGTGTTTTGAGATGAATGGGGATTTTAATACAACTAATTGTTTGTTGTTGTGGCCTGTACCCATCGCGTTGAGCTTAACAGGTACTACTCAGCTATTTTGATAAGGATAGTAGATAAAGTAGATTTCAACTGCATAGTTGAAACAGATATGTTACATCACCAGAGTGTGTATGCATACCTTCTGCAGTGGTTGTGACAAGGATGTCATCTGTGTACAGTGGCTGTATAAGTGATATGTAGTTGAAGATTATAATCTTGGTGTTTTCGGAATCAAAACCGCTTAACAATAAGATGACACAGAGGATACTTTTTCGTCTAAAAGGTTATGTCAAAGCACCTGAAAACATCTAGTATATTGCACAACTCATAATTACAGCTTTTACCTTATCTCTATTTCAATAATTTGATTTTGTTCATTTCTTTTCTATGACCAGCCAAACTATCCATCCTCAATACCTCAGTCATTAGTACCTGCAAATATAGAATCTTCTGGCATACCGTTCCCTAGTCCAGACTTTTTCTTTAGGCCACCTATTACGGCTAGTGCTGCGGCATTAGCTAACCTGTCATCATCAATGAGTATGAAGTCGTATTTCCCAACAGATTTCCAGTCATCATCACTGCCGCCTATCCATCCGATTGCATCATCACTGAATCAGACTTCTTTTCAAAGTAATTGGCCTACATCCACTACAGACGCGTATATTCCTCCTCAGTCACATATCAATCACTTTTATAATCCAACTGTGACATCTCAACATTTACCATTCCTGCCAATGAATAATAATCATGTAAATTCTTCACATCATCAATTTACAAATCTCAATATTCCTTATCATCCCTTAAATTTGACGGGATTCACCTCTCCTCCTCCGCCTCCTGCAACTTGTATTATTGAACAACAGGTGAATTTCTCAAATCCTATTGATAATAGTGATAAAAGCAACAACAATAACAACAGTTAGTCATTATCATCAATACAACAAGATTACAAACTATCAGATGAGAATGCCTTCCACTATTCAGCAATCCCATATAGACTGAATCGTTTGCTACAGTGTGCTGATGGATTTTCATCACCACCGCATGATCAGTTGCCAGGTTAACACTTCACAGATTAACCACTTATCCTTTTGTCAACTGTTCGATTAGTTATTATTGGTTTATTATCCACATATATTTCTTCGCTTTTTTGGCGATACCACTACCATTGTATAATTTTATCGATTGTGCATGTTATGTATACCAGTAGTAGTAAATTAGTTGAATGCAAATCGTGTTGGTGGGAATGATCAGTTTTGTTAGTGTTGAATTACTTGTGTTTATAACTGAATGAAAATTGTGGAAATGCCGATGTATCATGTCATGAATTACCCAAAAGGCTATACATATTCATATCCCCAGTCAGCATTCGAAAAAATCGAAGTACACTCAACAGCCTTGTGCTTGTTTGTGCAGTAAGCCATACCTAATATGTGAGGGCTAGTGATACTACTTGGCCGCCCAAACCTCGGTAGATGGGGTGAGGCTCGAACCGATGATGATCATCTCCCCAAGCCACTGGGTCACAGCTCCAATGAACATTGATGAATTATAAGTCGGTTAAGTTAAACTAATTGTTTAAGATCAATACAATTCGCTATTTCCCCACATTAAGTGTAATTTATGAAATCGTGGAGCATGAGTAGATATGTGTACACTGATAATCGAGTTATTTAAGCAGTTAATACTTCTTTAAAACCGAAGTTTCTAGTATTATAAATAAAAATTTATAATTCTTTCAATCGTTGTGCATTGGTTTTTTTTTCAATAAAATTCCCGGCTACTTACCGAAGGATAACGATCCGCTCTATTTACTGTACGGTGGTCAGAAATGATCACTAGGATTGTGCAAGTATACCATCCAGGCTGTTATCCAATATGTAATGTCAGGGTTAGTTTCATTTTAGTGTATATATTAAATGCGTTACATAGTGAAACTGGATAACTTTTTGGACAAAGTTTACCCTTTATTATTCATACCACATAAATATTATTATTATTATTATTATTTGTGCCTTGGGTTCCTAATGGAACGAACATAGGGCTTCAGTAGTACCTCTCCAGTGCACTCTGTTCTCTGAAATCTTTTGAACCTGACTCCACGACAGCCCAGAAGCTTTCATTTCCTTCTCGTATGATCTCCATGTCACCCTCAGCTGGGACGTCCAACTCGTCGTTTCCCCTCTTGGTTCCACTCCAGGGTCTGATGCGTGATGTCTCCAGTAGGCCTTCTCAGTGTATGCCCAATCCATCCCCACCTCCTTCCACTGCATATTTGTTGAGCGATGGGTTCTTGGTTGATTCGTTCCCAGAGCTCCTTGTTGCTTATTCTCATTATTCTGGCCATCTGATCTTCAGTAACGAGCCAGCGTAGGCAGTTGTTGGTGAATGTCTGTAGTTTATTGGAAATCCCTTTCGTAACGCGCCAAGTCTCTGAACCATACAGAAGCACTGACTTGACGTTGGTGTTGAAAATCCGGATCTTGTTCCACACGCTGAGTGCAGAAGATCTCCATACTAGTTTCAGGCTAATCAACGCCCTTCTTGCCTTTCCGATTCTGACTTTGACATCCTCGTCTGTGCCGCCTGTAGTTGAAACCATGCTGCCCTGCCTAGATAGGTGAAGGAGTCTACTTCCTTTAAGTTTCTTTCGTTCATGGTGATTGGAGTTTGTTGTTGGAGTTGTTGGTGCGGTATCTTCATCACCTCTGTCTTCTCTATATTCACTTGAAGTCCCGTCTTCGCTGCTCTGCCTCTTCTGTCGACTTGTTAGTAATCGTCTGTAGATCTGCAAGTTTGTGTGACATTAGACATAAGTCATCGGCGAAATCTAAATCTTGCGGTATTCCGTAGTATTGAAGCAGCTGCCGAATTACTTCTCGGTCGACGCTGTCAAAGGCCTTCTCAAAATCGATGAAGTTAAGGTAGAAGGTTGACTGCCCTTCTACCACATAAATATATGGACAATAAATTGTCCCGAAAAGTTATCCAGTAAGTAAAACTGTTCCACTGGGTGACATGTGATAAACAGATCAGTTGTTGAGTTTACACCGAATAATATAACTGGAAAGGTATGTTACGCCATGTCTAACTACTTTTTTCTCTGATGCACAATGTGAGGTAAAGTAGTATGTTTTCAGTTGTGTACACGTTGTCCGGTTGAATCTTAAGATCCTAAATATCAGTTGAAATAACCCAAAACAAACAGTGTAACGGCAGCTTTGGCTTATTTGTCTACCTACTCGACTTTTAACCAGCCTTGGATCACTGGTTTGAATAACACTCCGCTTACAGTGATCTGAACAATCAAGTAATAACATTGGTTATCACACAATCGATGTGGCTCATTGCATGGACGTGTATCTGGTGAATTGATTTTATTTTTTTGTTTCGTAACGGCAGTTATTCAGTCACCTGAACTAAAGCCCAAACATTATCACAATTCAGTGGAATCTAAGACGCACGTTTCGTCCTATTTGGGACTCGTCAGTTGGGTGCACTAGCACCCCAATGAGGGGCGCTATTCTTATTGGCAATTTCCTTACTCCATCCTTCAGAACTCTAGGTGGCAAAATGTCAGATCCTGCTGCTTCGCATCGTTTCAGGTTCGATACAGCTTTCTCAACTTCAAGGAGAGTTGGGAGACCGACATTTGCATCACCTTCAGGTTCAGGCAGGATGTTGGGCAGCTGAAGCATTGTTGTGGTCCAGTTGAACTGTGCTTCAAAGCGTTCTGGTTTAACTCACCATCGCTGTCTTCTTGCCAGGATCTTAAATAAGCTTAGTTACTCAACGGTGATGCTTTCTCCATCTTTCTGGCTTTCACCAGATGCAGCATTGATGTCACGCTTAGGTAGATCCTTAGCTAACTCCTCCCTAAATTCGTATTTGACGTTCTTATTGAGCACAGATTGACCTCACTGCGGCTAGTAAGGCGCAGACATACACGGGCCCGTACTAGCGCATAATCGGAGTCCAAACAGGTACTCAAGAAATAGCAATGATCCTCTCCAACGATTGCTTACAGCGATATGATCTATCTGTGCCTATCGTTGATTTGATGTCGGCAGACGCCATGTGATAGTGCCTCTCTTTATGCTTAAAGTTAGTGTTGGCCAGAAACAAGTGATTGTCAGAACAAAATTGTAACAGACGATAACCGTCGTCGGTTCATTGGCATATGTTTCTGTAGATGCCTCATGGGATGACTTTCCGATTGGCTCAGCTACCCTACTTGAGCGTTCAAGTCACTTGCCATTATGACTACATCTGGACGTTTTGCTTTCTATAGCAAAGCTGACAGCTCGTAGAATTCATGCTTTTGTGCTAGCGTTAACGTTGCTGTCTGTCAATGTTGGTTCTTTAGGCCTGCATAGCTACCCACTTGTAACCACCAAGTCATGTATTTCGCCCAGTCAACGGTGGCTCCTCCGATTTGAGAACTAAGTGACAGGTTTGAATCGCTGTTTTCTTATGAATGCAGGCGCACCTTGCTGACGAGTGTTAGCATGTACATTTAGGGCTTTCTGTTGGTTGACTTCCAACGTCTAACACCAAAGTACAGTGCACTGGGATGTCGATTTTTTTACATTCAATATATTTATGGTTAGAGATGATCAGTTACTTGACTTTCTAAAAAGAATTCTGAAACGTTGGATACATACACACACCCATATTCTTATTTGGACGTAAAAACTTATGCTGAAGAACAGCTCTGTAAATGAGGAATAAATTGTTAAAGGGCAGAAGAGAGGAAGACTACTCACATCCACTACGAAATTGCGTCCTGACCTAATTTTATCTGAGTATGTATCATCCAGTTGAAATAGGATTCATTAACGTAGGCATTGGACTTTTAGTATTTTCTATGGATTTGCTCGTATTATCCTGAATCGATCGGTCTCTATTGACACATGGGTTCCTGTACTGATGCCTCGATATTGCCTGCATTTGCAACTTTGATATCAATGACAGTGGCTAGCAGTAGGGTTCAGGACGCGCGTTTCGTCCTACTTGAGACTCGTCAACCGGATGTATCTGCCTCCCAGCGACCGATGCTGTTCCCACTAAGACTGGAACCCGAAATCGATCGCTTCAAACGCCAGAGCGTAATCTACTAGGCCCTTATCCATCATTAATATCAAAATTGAAAATGCAGGCGATATTGAGGCATCTGTACAGGAGTTCATATACCAATAGAAAACGATCAATTCGGTTCAATCAACGACGAGATAATGCAATCAACACCACATAACCTATACCCGTTACACAAGAAGCAGCTTTAACGACTCGTTGGCCCAATAAATAACGCTCAGGTGTTTGAAGCGATCGGTCCCGAATTAGAGTCTTAGTGGGAACTACACCGCTCACTGGAAAGCAGGTACATCCAGAGGACGAGTTCCCAATAAAACGAAACCCGCGTTTTGGATTCCACTGCCACCCATTATCTATGGTTAACGAGTCGATTCGACTAATTCACCTGAGCAATCAATAATTGTGGCTCAAATCCTCTTACATAATCCTACTTCACATTGGGTTGGATTGCATCATATACACATATCAATCAGCCTACTGAACCGTCATATATGAAACTAACTTGATGCAAAACAAAAAACCAAGCAGTACTAAGTAGTGATTTGTACATTAAGTGTAAGTGTGATAAGTTTGTTTACACTTATTCATACAATAATACGGAAACACTGGGCAAATCATTATTCATCATAGTTGTCATCGTCTTCTATAACTGAAGAGCCTAAAATGCGTCCAGATCCAGTAGCCGTTGGTAAAACAGACGATTTATTTGTTGATGTCACCACATCGCCAGAATTAACATCCGAACAATTGGCAGGTTGCAATGATCCTCGTTCCATCATACAGTTACCCAAATCTGAGGCAGCATAATTTGACGCTACCAGTAAGTCTCTTCTGTCTAATCGTTCACTGATAAAATCAGCCCTAGCCTTTAAAAGAATTTATAATGAAGAAATTAAACATATGATTGAATTAATATGAGTAATAATTAATCCTCACACTTAGTAAATATTAGAAACACAGAAATGGACGACCTATACACGTGAAAATACAAAGAACTGGTCAGAGATTATCTTAAAAAGATAGATATTTTTTCTTTGTCACTTAAACTAGGACAACGTTGGCAACTGTATCACCAGTGTATAGAATTATCATTTGTCCCTTGGGTTTCTAGTAGAACGTAGGGCTTTAGTAGCACGTCACAATTCCACTCTGTTCTCTGCAGTCTTTTTAACCTGGCTCCACGACTGCCCACAAGCTTTCATTTTTTCACTGTATGGAATACCGCGTCCTTTCTTTGTGGAGAGTCAGTTCTATGAAACTAATCTATCCAAATACAGTATAAAGCAACTGACGATATAAACAGATGGTAAAATCACATAGTACGAATGTACTTGTTACCTGGAATGTGGTGAACTCAAGCTTTTGAATACTACTACTTATGTCACTTAGCCATTGGCTTTTGGAAAAATCAGTACGGATAGGATAATCTTAAGCATAATAACTACTTCTATCATCGCTTACATAATCGTAACACAGTTTTCAAAAAAGGTTTGTTCTATCTTTTTCCAACTAAGTTACTTTTACAAGTGAACAAGGCACCACAGTACATGAGTTCAAATTGCCATCTGTATTGCTATGCGGAGATGTTCCCTGTCGAATGTACAACGAACCAGTAAGTCAGTAACTATGAGAAAGCTACGGATACTTACATGTTACTTTGTCTACTTATAATACCACAGTGATTGGGTACTATGTACTCGACAAATACCACCATATCGCGTACCAAATAAATAACTCCCGGCGTAGAATTACATTACCACAGTGAAAATGTCTTGCTGCTAAAGATAAAGTTACTTTGTCATCGTTGTGAAGTGTAAAACTGTCAAGTAGACAGCATTTGGGCAAGCCGAATGATCACAATGGATATTGGCCCTAGATAGTAAGCATACACTTGAAAGCATATACACTGAGAAGTATTGGAATCCCTTTTTCTTCTACTTTGTGATCGTTCACCTTATCTAATTCAGTTGTTTTCTCGCCATGCACTGATCTGTCGAACGTATATACATTTACACGCGTGACTTATTGGTCTCAACATACCATTTCATACCAACGGTTTATGGATTCGAACTCCATTCTACATACTAAAGTCTGTACACCAAGGTAGTATCCTTAGCCTACTCTCCACGTGGTCACTGAGTGCATTTCGGTTCGATTTGGAATACCGTACCAACCTATTGACTAACTTTTCACATTCTTCAATGAAACATTTTTAGTTGCACACAGGGTTTGAACTTTCTTGCTACATCAAATCAGGTTACACGTGCCAGCGAAACGCATAAGTACAAATATTCTAGTTGCGCATCTGTATTTGGATGGCAGTAAAGAAACACACCTGAGACATCAATGATTACTGCTGTATGTTACACTAATGGTTAGAATATTTTTTTACACTAAAACTTTTTTCAGCAGAATGGTCAGCATCGTCTTGCCATTTCACTACTCATTAAAATGGTAAGACGTTAGCTATAGGGTCTTCGAAACTTCTTAAAGATAATAAATATGTGTGAAGGAGGCTATTCATCAAAATTTTGAAAACTGATGTTTACAAAATAGAAAGCATTGGATTATCTAGAATAACTGAAATGTCTGTTATCAAGCGACACATTATTCTGTAGTTATTTCGATAAAAATAGTAAAAATGATATGAAGTCATCCAGAACTTATTAAAATACCGATTTTATGCTGCTGTATTTTGTGGTTGGAAGTAAATAATGAGAGATTAAACCACATTGTTTTCGGCGATCGAAATGGTTAAAATAAACAAAACGTTTGGCACAAGTGTTCCATAGTGTAATATACTTAACTTTCTAAACTCCTTCCCACGCTTGTTAGAAATCTAGCTCACCATCCAGGGTAGAGGATTTATTAGACGTTCTTGCCTAGAACAAGTGGGTACAGTTTTCTATATTATGCTAAAATCTACACTTACTGGGATTCCAAAATCGAAGAAGACGAAATAAGTCCCAACTTGTGATCGAATGGTTAATTGTCAACTGATTACATCGTGATGCAGACTGACCGTTCATAAGCAACCCATACTTTTACTACGCTATTATAGCAATCGGTTAGTGGTCGGCTATCTCGCCTTTGTGTAAGTCAGCAGAGGATTTAGTGATTGTCATCCCTGAAGTGAAATGAGTTATTACGCTTACTGATGCGAATATTGACCACTGGAGGTTGTTGGTTTAGGCACTCAATTTACAACCAAAGGATGAGAAACCCTATCCATTTGCCAAAATTTGGACAGCCAGAGAATATCAATGATGCATTTTACAGACTAGTAAGCGAATTAGGAACTCATTTTCTGGATGTATTTATTCATTTCTCCACGCTATATCGCTAGCTACAAAGCGGTGAGGAGTTTAGGCAGACTGATTAGAGGTGTCAGTGACAGTAAGTTGCATTCTGCAACCACTTCGATGTTTTTGTAGACAAGTTTAAAATGGTGGTGTAATAAGTCGATATACCTAGCCTTTTTGGTCAGCACAAATCCTAGCAACTAGTTACTAAATATTTGACTACAGGTTTATTTAAAATTCCCACCAACAGTGTGATATATAAATGCGTGATCATGGTCCGATTGATTATGTATAGAGAAGGTTGAAAACTCAGTTAGTCAAAAAGCAAAACTGAATCTGGCATAGCTGTGTAACCACTCAAGTTACCATATTTTCCATCAGCGTGTCAAGAAACAAGGCGAAAGACAAGTATTAGAGATGAAATAATCAAGTTGTGAATAACTATGAGATGAGAATCAGGAGTCGTAGTGTAAATAAGGCAATGCGATATGGTTATGATGAAGACAACGTACGGATACGCTGCTGTCGCTTCTGAGCCATATCTTTTTACCCCTTAACTTGATGTGCTAATGAGGCAACTTAAACCCTTGCGCAGTAATGCCGGTCCCACATTGATATTGACTGAAATGAAGTCCTTAACTATAGGCTTCAGTTGCCACGCCAACCACAAAGTAGGAATCTAAATACCTTCACATGGCTCAGATTAGTACAAAGAGACTTCATGGATTAATGACACGCTTTAGTCTGAGCATCTTCAACCTTTTTCTAACCTAACTCTACTTCAGCTGAAATTTTTCACCGAGGAAGGTGGTGGCTCGGTATGTGTACTGCACGTCATAACCACCTAAGTCGACGGAGGTTCGCAATGTCATCAGTAGATTTACCTGCACCAAAGCTTATTCAAACTTTTTACCTTATGTTTTTATATGTATGTCATTGAGGTGTATATTTATGAAACCCCTGACAACAGAATTATAGAGGAGTCCTAGTAGTGTGACAGTGAAGGTGGAAGTAAAAATGCCAGCTTGAAATTAAAACTGAATCACATTGGATTTCTTAAATCATCTGTTACACTATCACTCCAGGCCTGACCTCGACACTAACTAACGTGATCGTTGAAAACTCTGACGATAGCGTAACACAAATAGCAAAACTAATGCTATTTCCAGATTCATAGGACTGTTGAACATTAGTTAACAAATCAATGCTTCATAGTATTAGACTGGATAGAAGGAGACAAAACTGAAGGTTGATCAACTGTGTATCAACGAAACGCAAATGCTTTGTCAGATATTAAAACAGCACAATTACTCGTGATTCTACATTTTATATTCATTTTTTCAAAATTGAATGTATGAGAAATGTTGAGGTTAGGTGAAAGATACTCAATAAAGATGACAGGTCAGTGAATGAAGTTATCGACTTTCTTCGACTAAGATGGCTTGAACAAATGTTGCACATATCAAGTCACCAGCTATTTAGAAATAAGGACTGAAATTGAAATAAAGCTAAGGATAGTTAACCGAAGATATGGCACCCTGGAGTCTTAGCCGTGTTGGGAGATGTAGACAACCTGGTTGCGGCCCTGGGAACGATAGGAATCAATGGCTAGATAATCTCAGTGGCATGGCTAAAAAAAGACCATAATGGCGCAAACGTATGTACTTTCTGTAATCTTCAAAAGTCTTAACAAGTTCACTAACCCTAGTTTATTTATTCTACTTCCTTCCATACACTTTCTATCTCAGTACCACTTTTTTTCTGTCTAGGTAACCTGTGTTTCTGAGATATGTATGCAGGACCCGAGTTTGGTCATTAAGTTGGCTTCACCTGGCCGTTGTAGTGAGTCTTCAAAATTCACCTTACGAGTGGTCCAGAGATCAAATGACGTGCTCCCGTGGAGTCGCATGTGTAGACATAGAATTGAGTTGTAGCGCAGAAAGTAGACTTCTTGACTAGATACCAGTCAACAGCCATTTAAATGCTCTTCGACTGAAAGGATCTGTACAAACTAGGAAGGATCGTGAGACCAACCGATACCTAGTCAAAATCTTCGTCTACACACACCAACAGTAGACCGGATGATGCAAAGTATGAATTTTATGAGAAGCTTTCAATTTCACTACAAAAAGCAAAACGTCCAGGTGAATTTAACAATCAAATAGGGAACCTAAGCCTTATCGAAGAGGCTTCTGGAAGGTACTTACAGTATCCTATTACAACGAACTGACAACGGTGATCGTTTGTTACAGTTTTGGTCCGACAACCACTTTTTCCAGCCAGTACTAACCTTAAGCACAACGGGAGACAGTCTCACATGGCGTCCACCAACATCAAACCAATGATGGACACAACAGATCACACTGCTATGAACCATCGTTGGAGAGGATCGGTGAAGGATTGTCGCTGTTTCCTCAGTGCCAGTTTGTACTCCGACCACGCATTAGTAAGGGCTCGTATAGGTCTGTGCCCTACTGATCGTAGAAAACAGGCGATGACAAAGTCTGTCTGTGGTCGATTAGAAGATGAGGATGCGAAATACGTTTTTAGGGGGAAGTTAGATAAGCATTTATCTGGACGTGATACCAATGCTCATCCTGAGGAAACCTGGTGGTGTATTATGTCCACTTTCAAAACAGTGGTAAAGACAGTTGGTAACGATGGTCAGTGGTGCCATCACTGAAAACAATGGTACTCTGGTAACCTTTCAGGATAGACGGCTAGAATGTTGGGCAGAACACTTTGAAGCAAGGTCCAACTGGACCACAGAAACGTTTCAGTTGCCCAACATCCAGCCTCAACCTGGAGGGGACGCAGATGTCGGTCTTCCAACTCTCCTCGAAGTTGAGAAAGCTGTATCGAACCCGAAACGATACAAAGCAGCAGGACCTGACATTTTACCACCCGAAGTTTACAAGGACAGAGGTAGGAAATTGCTGATTAAAGTGTCAAAGGTACTAGCTACCTCGTGGGAATCAAAGGTAATGCCATCAGACTGGTCCACTTATCTGATCATCCCAATCAATAAGAAGGGAGAAAAGTCTTGTGACAAACATGGGAGAACTAGTTTGACCCTAGACTTTATAGTTATCTGATGCTTAACTGGAGCACAAGAAAACCAGGCACATTTCAGACCTGGACGGAGTGACGGCGCACCAATCAGATTTCTATCCTTAGACAGGTTCTGGAACACGAACATACCTACTGGCCACTGGTCGACACTTGCTTCATTTGTTGTCCTGAAGGCGACATTAGACTCTGTCTGTTGTGAGGTGTTGTGGCAGTATCTGATTGTGAAGAGAGTATCGATCAAGTACATAACGATAATCAAAGCTCTCTACTGGAACTAACGCAGCCGTGTAAGGGGTTATGCAGAGTTTTTGTCAGAACTGACGACAAGTAGTGGTGTCCGCCAGGGATTCCCACTGTCATTCTTTCTACTTGACTTTCTCTTAGATGTACTGATGGACATCAACTTAGGTACCTGTGACTTCGTAGGGACTGACTTACTCCCCGAAGGTCATCTGGTTGACCTAGAGTGTGCAGACGATATCGTCCGCCAGGTGAAGAGATTGTGAATATCTTGTGAACACGTTGAGCAGAAGTCTAAGTATGTTTGGCTGCGCTACGTATTTCACACCTGCGAAACGTAATATGATGCTCTAAGAGTAGTCTGCAACCACTCCCAGTTTAATGGTAGGGAGTAAGGTGGTGAAATTTATGTAGCACTTCACTTGCTTGGTGAGTTGCGTCAACTCGAACTGGCTGGTTGCTGACGAAATCCCGGCTCGGACACACAAGATGTATTTGGAATTTGTCGAGTAGTGTCATGTTTGGGGCCAACTGGCGAGGTATCCCATCATCTTTCAAAGAATGAGTACACTGAGCTGTAGTTCGTTCTATCCCGTTGTACGTCGGTGAGACATGGCTGTTGCAAGTAGAAGACATGAAGCGGTTACAGGATTTTCATCATAGACGTTTTTATAATGTTGCTAGCGTTTGGCGGGATCGTCGCGCGAGCAGTGTGGTCAGGCGAAGGGTACTAAGCAAGTAGATTGATGAGGCTGCCAACCTTTACCGGCTGAGGTGGCTCGGACATGTGTCGGGTATGATAATCCGCCACCTACCTCGGCATGCAATCATGGGAAATGTTGGACTAGGCTGAAGAAGGGTTCAGGATGGTTAGATGAAGACGTGGCACTAGTCCATGGAGTCTCTAACTGTTGGTCTGAGACGTATAAGGAGATGTAGACTATCTGGCTGGGGTCCCTCAGACGACAGGAATCAGTGGTTGAGGACTCTTGGTGACATAGCTGAAAATGGTTTACAATGGTACAAACGCATTCACCAACCCTTATTTTTAAATTCCCCCTCCTCTCAAACATCTCTATCTTCTTTGATATCAGTCCCTATCAGCCTTTTTTATACTACTTTGAAATGTGGCAACTTGTGTGCGAGGTTCTAAGTTAGGGTGAAAAATGGGCAACTTGAGCAAATGCACGTTTACGCCAGGTTCTACTGATATTTCTCTGCCCTGAGCAGCTAATTTCTGAACGGAGTTAAAATCACATTTATCACTTCACTCAGAGATGTTTACTCTGAATCTTTCTCCAATGGAAATAGACGATCGCCGCTGAAGTGTTTACCGAAACCAAAAAATAGTGTTTTCAAGTTACCATTTTGACCCTCATTTGCCGCACACATTCTTCTTGACCTAAACAATCTTGTCTTCAGGTTTCTATGCATCAACCTCCTATTCGAAACCCAAGTAAATGAATACGGGCTTTGTGAACAAAAACAAAATCATGTATAACATCACGACTGTGCTATAAATAGAAATATGTGTTCTCTATATCCACCCACTATTTGCCTCAAAATGGTTCTTATGCCAGTGTTCTGCTGTTTTTATCTCACGTGTTATATGAAGAAGTGAATGAATATAATGCTGTGTGACAGTCATCACCGAACTTGTACAAATCCTCAGCCTAAATCAAAGAAGGCTTAATGGATTTGAATTTATGACACGCTCACAAACTGAATGTTTCTTTTCTAAGTATTACTCAATCGAGGAGTTTTATCCTAGTTTTCGACACAAACGTGTACCGGACAAGTAACCAACTCTCCTACAGTCTCTTCATTTACATCAGTTTGGTTTTATATAAACGTAACGAATCCTTGTTACAACGCATGACCTGTAAATAATAAACATGAAATTGTTTTCCATCTATCTACCTAGAATACACTTTTGTCAAGGGGCACAACTTATCATCTTACGTAGTCGATTTCCAAGCAATGGGATCTGAAATTCAACTTTCTTCGGATTGGGTAACTAAGTATTAACATCAGAGTTCACGCGAATTTGGATCATAGCCTAGTAAACAGACATCATTACCAGGTTTAGTCACGAATTTTAAACTCAAGAACATACAAAAGATAAATTTTATCATATGGATAAGCTGCGAAATACAGAATTGTTCAGAATAACCTTGTGAAAATGTAGAGGTTCTCAGTTTTGTTTCCACAAACAGATGAATGAGTATGCTGTGTTCGTGAGTCTATGTTCAGTTTTCTAATTGACAAGAGTACGTAGATTGGTTGGTCGGTGTTTTCATTATATCCGTCTGATTAATTTTTCACATACATAATAACCTCGTTTGTAAAAGTAAATGATTGTAGAAAGTAGGTATATTTTTGGCTTAACTAAAACATGCAGCTGTGAGCACGCCAAAGTTCTCCAATTCCATACAAGTGTTCTTCATCATGTCACAGATTTTCGCAGCATGATGTAAACAAAACAAGAATAACCATATTTTATATAAATGTGAATGATGCGGTTCTCGGTCAGGGAAACATATCCCAACAACACAACTCCATGTTCGCGTTCGCATAGTCCTTCACCTACACTATCATCACAAAGCATTTCTTAATCTTGTATCAGAACTTTCACGTAAAATTTTGCCACTTGGTACAGTAACACCTAGATACTGAGCAGGTTTGGTTCATACCCAGTGATACTATCTGTATATATAAATATATACATATGCATACAATATTATTAATAACACATTGTTTCTGAGAATTATAACCCTCAAAAAACTATAGATTATCAGGAGAGTTTATGGCTTTGAAAATTAGTGTCACAGTAGTGTAAAATGCCACAAAAGTGCAGATAGATACACTGGGAGTGAATAGTTTGAGGTTTCCAAATAGGAATTTCTTTAATGAATCATATGAATGAAAAGCAGTAAAGAAATGCTAGAATAACATACTTGCTCAAATATTTCCTGCTGTTCCTTGGCTAGTCTCTCTAGTTCTTCACTATCTTGATGTTTAAACCGATAACTTGCGCTAAGCATTTTTCGACCTTTAATCTCTTCCTTCGCCTCTTGACATGCGAGTTCAACATGCTCTTTATAAGATGATAGGTTCATTGAATCCAAGCCTAAAACGTACAGTAAGTTCACGTAAACTACATGCCTTCGAGTATGTGCTGCGGGCTGATAGTTTTTTTGTTAGCCTTATAACAGGCTAAATTTGCTTCTGTAGCCAATTTGTGAATGAAACAGTGACAACAATTGAGAAGTAGATCTCGAGTTTCGGTGGTCAACCTCGCATCTGGGACTATTCCTTTACAAATTTATTCAGTGCAGCACGTGGAATGGAAACTTCATCTTCCTCTTTCGAAGGGAATTCATCATCATCCGAAAGGGCTTTAGTAATATAAAATCACCAGTGTGAAAACCTACGTCTCATCCTCATTGGCTGGTTCAAAAACTCCGGGATGAAACGAGTGGTCATTGTCAAGAGTTTTCAAGACAGTAAAATACTTGCGTTGCAGCAGTTGCGAAATGAAGGTTCCTTGAGATTTGATACTATGGTATCCAAATCAACTATGAAATATAGGATTTCTCAATCGCATGCTTCACATAAATGTTCTAAAAGCAACAGCGGAAACATCATTCCTGCATAACTGTCGCGGTTAGAACTTCCTGAGGATTACCTACGCATATTATGCACAATTATTATTTTCGGATTAAATGATTATGGATGGCTCCTGTACATTCTCCAAAATTTTCTTCATAAGACTTCAGGACCTAATTAATCGTCTCCGCTTTGAAATCCACGAAATCGACACGTTATGTTAAACTCATGAAATGTGGTCGCACAATCGTTGAATTAATTGGTCAGACATTATTTTCCCTATTGCTGCGTGTATTATTCTGAAATGATATCGTAGGTGAGTTTTTCTGGAGCAGACCTAAGTCAAAACACCGTGCTGTTAAACAGGTTGATCTACTCATGACTTGGTCTCGTCGCGTAAAATACTGGGCTGATATTAGCACGTAACTGAAGCATAATATTAAGCATTATCAGACGCTGAACACCTAGGCTGGATTTCTTTAGTGATAAATCTAGCTACTGCTACTGTTATTACCTGGTTGCCTTCTCAGTAAAAGGGATGTTTTTCTGATGATGGGAAATGGGAATCAAAAGTTCGTCGCTCCAGGTTACACTCTTCATCCCGGTATATAAAGAGAAGGTAAATGAAAAATGTATCGGATAAAAGTAGGTAGGACTGAACTACATCGCAGCGGATTTATGTTTGAACACTAGCAAAGGTGCTCAAAGATTTAGAGATGGCGAACAAACTAAACACCAGCCCCACGGTAACCTAATCCCAGCCATAGCAGCAAGGGCCTCCAGCCACTGATTCCTGACAGCAGATCACGATCAGGCAGCCCAGTTCCCTCCCTAAAGGTTCAAACCAACATTCGAAGGTTTCAGGAGCAGAAGCCTTGTCTTCGCTCGTCCACCTCTAACTCTTATATTGTCACTATTTAGTCAAACTCTCTACCTGATCCTTTACTAACTAGATTTCAGTGGTCTTGTATTTGGAGTTGAGGACAAGTGAAGTTTAATTTGCCGCACAAAGCTATCAACTTATCTTTTATTCCATCAGCTAGTTCCACTGATAGGTCAAGTCATCCAGCTATTTTCAACCAGTGATTGAGTATCACCTTACCATCGTCCCGATCAGCTGGACTACTTATGATGTACCAATTGCCCCAGACCACAAGCTAGGTATGAGTGCATTCACGGGTGTTGCATTTTGGCCATAAGTATTACCAACTATTTTTGACGCCTATGTAAATTGTAATTTTTGTAACAGCTGGTCCTTTATAGTGAGAAGCAGACCTTAGCTGGATGCTTGTCCATTCGCTCCTCGTGAGCCAGATTCTCCCGCCTGCTTACAGAGCTCATATCGTTTCGCTAGTTCAATGAACGCACCACAATTACCCGAGACTTATTGTGGGGCATAGGTGTGATATGCACACTACTTCTCCCTTGTTTCCTATGACCTTATTTCATCTCGTGAATTCTTATGTTCTGACGTGAACAAGGCATGACACCACACCCACATCCTGCCTTTCTATTCTTGCAGAATCTACTGTAACCGCAGAGATTGGTTTGATCATCACTGATTTGCGTACCGAACTTAAATACTAACCTGAAAACGCGATGCTTGATGCACGCTCTTGAAAAGAATATTCACAGTAAGAACATTGCGGAATCATACAAAGCAAGTGTTCACTTTTTTATTTATTCTAACATACTACGCCGGGGATTACACAGTTGAAATGCAATGGATCACAGTAACTCGGTGCCCAAGTTTTTCCAAACCACCCAGTTCGTTTTTGTTCAGGATATGTTCCAACAATATATAGGATATAGTCAGTGTATGCAAGGATAAAGACTAGTTATTTCGCAAACCTCACAGCGTTTCGTCCACGACATTTCGCATGGTTTACATCTTGCCTACGCCGACCAAGTCAGTATCCTCATTGTGAGTGCGGGCTGGGATGGCCATCGCGTTCACTTGCAGCAAGTTGATACCGGGCTTGACGAACGCTCAATTACAGTCGATTTGGTCAAGTGCCTGATCGATTTCCGTTCATCGACCTTACCCGGCCACGTTTTCGGTGAGCATAAAATTCCCCCTCCACCTGGAGAGATACAGGCAACTGAAGATTTTCCGGTTTCGACATCGCTAAGGTGCTGTGTACATCCCTTGAGATGACGAGCCACTATCGCCTTTTTCCCTAGTGTGCGCACATTTTACCTGCGCTACCCAGCCTGCTAGAAGGTAGGTGCAATTCTTCAACATGACTCCCAAGTCACTAGAAGCATTAAAAATGAGATAACAAAAGCCACGATATTGATTCACCGGGATGTAGACCTTCCTCTTAGCATATGCGTGTATGCCTGTACGCCGCTAGTGGAGCTGAGTTAGGATATCTTTTGGACCGCTCTTGTGTTCTGCTTGCTTTTTTCCCCCGGAAGCTGTCCACGGTATAACACCTTTGGTCACGAACTTCTTCTACATATGCCCCAGTCAACCATTTTCGTCATTTTATGAAAGATAACAATCTCATTACATTTGCCAACTGTAACAGAAAAAATGGTTTGAAAATCCCTCCTGAGCATTGACGTTTACTTGAGTGTCTTCATCCCCATTATGGATATTATCCTCTGACCCTAACCGATGTAATGTTACTTTTTCATTTGCTCGCCTCCTTTGATTTTACGCTCATTATTTGTCATCGTTTTGATCGAGACTTATCATTAATGATTCACTTCGCCATTTCATGATGCTGGAATGTTGACAGTCGTTTTACAGTTCCTGACATTTTTATGCTCCCCCGACTTGAGGTTACGCTGTGAAGTGACTGCTGGTCTTTTGACTGTCTTCTGGAAACGTTTATCGATTGATTGACTCTTGTAGACAGGACTTTGATCCCACTTTCTAGGGGCATTCTTATTGACTGGCACTACGTATTCCTTGCCGGAGAAAGTTTTGAACTATGTAGTTGCCCAGTGGTATTGTTGAGTACCACAGATTTACCACAAACCTGCCACAGATTTATCAAGTGAAATCATGTTTGATACTGTGGAAACACAATCTTGCGTTCAGACCGAAAAACTTGGATTTTGGTCGCTACACTGACTTACATCTTGTGAAATAACATGGATAGGTACTCATTGCGTTAATCACATTACCTAGACTACATTCCAAAATTCGCTTCAGGTAGCCATCACGCTTTTGTGTGGCAGACGCACTGTCTCGCTTATGCTCCACCACTTTACCTCAGAGTACTGATCTACGGTAAAATGCTGAACTTCAAGGTTCAGACAAAGCGGCGGAAGAACTTCAACACCCAACATTCCTGAAGATGCAGAGTGTACCACTCCTAAATGGTGAAGAACAGTCCTGCGTGAAATGTCCATAGGGACCCCAAGACCTACTGTTCCTTTCCCTTTGTGTGTGCTCCTTGTTGATGGCCCACACGAGTTTTCCTATCCCGGTGTGCGCTCTACTTACAAACTGATACCCGTCAGGCACTAACCGTGATGTTCGAAGTGGGTATGGCCATGCATTCAACTCCAACGATCCAAGCAGAATCTGCGTAATGTAACTACATTTGAAACCTTCGCCAAAGTAGATTCACGACTCTGCCGTGTGCATTTAGGCATTATGACCCACTTCCACCTGGTGGTCAGTCCTACCTACCAATGCGTGTTGATAGGTTCACTTGCTGGCCGGAGGTTATCTCACTATCAGGTATTACCGCTGAAGGAAGTGGACTGCATCTCTGCTGCTGGTTATCCTCAGTGTCCACTGCACACCCAGGACAGATATACGGTGCACTGTTTTCGGGCTAGTCTACGGAAGTAATCTGCGTTTTCCCGGGGAACTGGTTGTTTCATATCGTGGCGTGCCAACTCCGTCCGACATCCCTGGTAATGTCAACCCCACAGACGTCACGTGCGTCGTCTCCAACACCATCAAAACGAATTCAGTGCAGTACAAATATTTATTCACGAGTGTACAGGCATGCAACGTTTTCACGGGCATTAGTAAACTTCTATGAAAGTTACGTGTGTCTTTATGGCAGCCAATCTCAATTTCCACCGATCCTGCCAATAGGAGAAATAAGTCCTGCTTGTCTGTAAAATGAAACGTCCCAGTAGAATAAGTATACACAAGTGTAGATGGGTGCGGCTGGATAAAAGTAGTAAATATTGCACAGACTTCTTTGTGCGTTGCGATGCTGTCCGGAAACCCTTACAATCACCCTACAACAGACCTTCCGACGTTGTAATTCAAAAAGAAAACTTCTTCAAAAGATTATGATGGCAAGATGCTGAAGGTGCACGCCGCCTAAAGGCAGTCTATGTGGGTGACCATCCAACCCTCCCTGTATTGGCACCATAAAAGCAACCATTACCTGAGAAAACGAGGAAAGACCCTTCTGTCAAAAAAATACAGACTGTGCCAGCAGGGAAGTCACCGGTAGCAACAACGCGACGCCGTCTGCACGGGTTGATCGACGCGTCCACTGGCCTGAACGCACAACACACTTCTTCTCTTAGCCGTTTAATGCCCTGGGGCGTGGGCATGTGTGGCTGGTGTCAGCTTGGGTTTGTTTACAAGTCAGAATGTTTCAGCGAAGTTATGGAGACGGTGAAAATGTACAAAAGAGGCACCTTGATGTCTGTCATTATGATCCTTTGCATATCAGTCCATACTTCTGCGTGTCTTGCAGCTTATCCTTCATCCTGTACTAACACTGTTTTCCTCATCTCAAACCAATAAGAACGCGCACTGCCCGATACAAATTGGATGTAGGCGGTATCAACTGGATCGTTTCTCTGTTTCGTGTACCGATTCCCCTTTATGCACGTCTCTCTGCAGCTAA